GCTGCTGCTGCTGCTGCTGTAGTACTGTCTGCTGCTGCTGTAGTACCGTCTGCTGCTGCTGTAGCATCGTCTGCTGCTGCTGTATCACTGTCAGCTGCTGCTGCTGCTGCTGTAGCACCATTGTTGGTGTGGCTTATTGAGACAAACCAAGAAACAATTAACCCCAGAGGATTTGCCACCCAGGATAAACCCAAAAATGTCAGTGTCATCGAAGACTGTCTAACTTATTTCCATTGGGGTCCTTAATCTTGTCTCCCAGGATGCAACCCACACCAGTCGACTAACACCCAAGTGAACAGGGAAAAATGCCTGGAACTAGTGCTCATATTGGTGAATTTTAAAGCCAGCAAAGGTTGGTTTGAGAGATTTAAGAATCGTAGTGGCATACACAGTGTGATAAGGCCTGTTCTGGAAGAAAATGCCAAACAGGACCTACAGTACTCAGGAGGAAAAGGCACTCCCAGGACACAGTGTCTCATCAGTCATTGCTGCATCTTCAATAAAGGTAAGTGTCATTTATTCTTCATTTAGTAGAGTAGTACATGCACAATATATATATTGTGCATGTATCCTTCTCTTTGTGTGTAGGAAAATGTATATTTCATGTGGTAAAATTTGTTTTTTTCATACTTTTGGGTGTCTTGCACGGATTAATTTGATTTCCATTATTTCTTATGGGGAAAATTCATTCGCATACCCATCATTTCGCATGACAATCAGCCCTCTTGCACGGATTAAAGTCGCTATGCGGGGGTCCACTGTACTTGCAACATCTGCCACATTGCTCCTCTCTCCACTCTTCATTCCCTTTTCAAAATCCAAAAATGAAATAAAAACTTCCACCTTTATCTAAATACTGTTACATATAGCAAAAAAGAAAACACTTGTCTACACATCCCCTACCCACTCTGAACCTCCGTGCTCCCGCAATCCTACATCTGTCTTACCTCAAATTTCTTTCAATTAACCCACCGTATCTTTTCCTGGATACCAGTAAACTTATTCCTCATAATTTTTACAATCCTTTTGCCCCCTTTCCCTTTAATTTAAAGGGACTAAAATGCTCCCCCGCCAACCCCTAGGTACCTTCCCCTTTTCAACATTTATTAAACAAAAGTACCACCCCCCCCAACACAAACCCCCCCCCTGTTTTTTAACTTTTCTGTCATGATCCCATCATTCCAGCTGCTTCCCCCCTTTCATTCTACGTAATGCCTCACTACCTCCACCACACTTACTTTTCTCTCTTCTTCACTCCAAAAGATGGATACCCCCCTGGCCAGTGCATGAAATTCCCGCCCCCCCTTTTTTCCTAAACATTTAAAAGTCCTCAAAATTTCCGCCTCCCCTAATACCCCCCCTCTCCCCATCTACTAACTCCCCTACTTGTTTTTAACTGACAAACCTATTTTCCCCCCTAGGCTTTTTTAAAACTTGTTTAATCACCCCAAAAATTTTTTTTCTTTTTTCTTTAAAAATTTCTTGCGTGCCTCCCCCACTCTATCATCTGCTCTCCTTTGCACTCCCACCACTCTCTTCCCCTTTCTTTTACTCTCCATATAGTTGCTCTTCTTTAACACTTCTGCTTTGTAAAAACCTCTATAATACCTTTTTCCTTTTTAAAACCCCTTTACTTCATCTTTCCCCAATCACTCCTCTTCCCTCCCCCCCACCCCCCCTATAACCACAAACTTCTGCCCACAAATCTAATACTGCATTTTTAAAACTTTCCAACCTCTTCCCCCCCCCCACTACTCTTTTTGCACTAGCCCCCCTTTTGCCAAAGTCGCTTTTATCCGCCCGAACTTCCTCCTCCCTTTTTTATACACTTTCACCCCCTCCCCCTTGTTGCCACCTTTCCCCTTTTTCCCCCCCACCTCTTACTCTAAATGTAGCTACAACTAAATAATGATCCGATATATCAGTTGCCCCTCTATAAACATGTACATCCTGGAGCCTACCCATCAACCTTTTATCCACCAATACATAATCTAACAAACTACTTTCATTACGTGCTACATCATACCTTGTATATTTATTTATCCTCTTTTTCATAAAATATGTATTACTTATTACCAAATTTCTTTCTACACATAGCTCAATTAAAGGCTCCCCATTTACATTTACCCCTGGCACCCCAAATTTACTTACTACTCCTTCCATAACATTTTTACCCACTTTAGCATTAAAATCCCCAACCACCATTACACTCACACTTGATTCAAAACTCCCCATGCATTCACTCAACATTTCCCAGAATCTCTCTCTCTCCTCTACACTTCTCTCTTCCCCAGGTGCATACACACTTACTATAACCCACTTTTCACATCCAATCTTTATTTTACTCCACATAATCCTTGAATTTATACATTTGTAGTCCCTCTTTTCCTGCCATAACTTATCCCTCAGCATTATTGCTACTCCTTCTTTAGCTCTAACTCTATTTGAAACCCCTGACCTAATCCCATTTATTCCTCTCCATTGAAACTCTCCCACCCCCTTCAGCTTTGTTTCACTTAAAGCCAGGACATCCAGTTTCTTCTCATTCATAACATCCACAATCATCTCTTTCTTATCATTTGCACAACATCCACGCACATTCAGACTTCCCACTTTGACAATTTTCTTCTTCTCATTCTTTTTAGTAATCTTTACAGGAAAAGGGGTTACTAGCCCATTGTTCCCGGCATTTTAGTTGACTTTTACAACATGCATGGCTTACGGAGGAAAGATTCTTATTCCACTTCCCCATGGATATAAAAGGAAAAGTAATAAGACCAAGAACTATTAAGATAAAATCAAAGAAAACTCAGATGAGTGTGCATAAATAAACGTGTACATGTATGTGTAGTGTGACCTAAGTGTAAGTAATTATTATTATTATTATTATTAACATAATATGAATGGGTTAACATAATATGAAGGGGTTCAGGGAAACTGGCAGGCCGGACTTGAGTCCTGGAGATGGGAAGTACAGTGCCTGCACTCTGAAGGAGGGGTGTTAATGTTGCAGTTTAAAAACTGTAGTGTAAAGCACCCTTCTGGCAAGACAGTGATGGAGTGAATGATGGTGAAAGTTATTCTTTTTCGGGCCACCCTGCCTTGGTGGGAATCGGCCAGTGTGATAATAAAAAAAAAAATATTATTATTATAATTATTATTATTATAATCAAAAAATGCTAAATCACAAGGGCTGTCATTTCATAAGAAAAAAAAAATTGTTTTTTTTCGACACCAGGAGACACCTCAGAATTTGGTGTTTAGACAGTCAAGAGGTTAATCCCTCACCTCTTGCCAACACCTGAGCATTCACTTCTCTTACAACCCCATCTATAAATATATTGAACAACCATGGTGACATCACACATCTATCTAAGTCCTACTTTTACTGGGAAATAATCTCCTTCTCTCCTACATACTCTAACCTGAGCCTCATTATCCTCATAAAAGTTCTTCACTGCTTTCAGTAACCTACATCCTATTCCATATATTTGTAACATTTCCATCCTATTATATGTCTTTTCCAAATCCATAAATGTCACAAAAACCTCTTTACCCTATTCTAAATACTGTTCAACTATATGTTTTACTGTAAACACTTGATCGATACATCCCCTACCCTTCCTAAAGCCTCCTTGTTCATCTGCGATACTGCTCTTTGTCTTACTCTTAATTCTTTCAATAATAACTACCATACACTTTACCAGGTATACTCAACAGGCTTATTCCCCTATAATTTTTACACTCGCTTTTGTCCCCTTTGCCTTTACACAAAGAACCTATTCATGCTCTCTGCCAATCCCTAGGTACCTTACCCTCTTCCATACATTTATTAAATAAAAGCATCAACTACTCCAAAACTATATCCTACCTGCTTTTAACAATTCTGTCTCTATCCCATCAATCCCAGCTGCTTTACCCCCTTTCATTCTACCCACTGCCTCACGCACCTCCTCCACACTCACAACTAGCTCTTCCTCACTCCTACAAGATGTTATACCTCCTTGCCCAATGCACGAAATCAAAGCTTCCTTGCCTTCATCAACACACTCAAAATACTCCTCCCTCCTTGTATCATTTCTACTGTGTAAAAACCCCTCATATACCAACTTTTTCTCTCTTACTACTCTCTCTACCTCATCATTCCATCAATCATTCTTCTTCTCTCCCACACCCACTTTCCTGTAATCACAAACTTCTGCTTAACACACTAATGCTACAGTCTTCAACCTACCCCATACCTCTTCAACCTCACTGCCTATACTCTCACTAGCCCATCTTTTTTTCCAATAGTTGTTTATATCTTACCCCAACTACCTCTTTATTAATATACATGCATATATTTTATTGGGCACATACAAGCCTCACTACAAGTGATGACCAGTAATAAAACATGCATGTAAAATTGTAGCCATAAGAAAAGTAAGAGGAAAACCTCTCACTATGTGTACCCTCAGCAAACACCTGAAATACCATTCAATATTTGCACTGTCATAAGAGCCAATATTCATTTTATTTCATTTCTTTTTCTAACCAAGAATTAAAATAATAATAATAATAATAATAATAATAATAATAATAATAATAATAATAATAATAATAATAATAATAGTAATAATAATAATAATAATAATTTATTTTGACATGATACATAGTTGTACAAAGGAATATAATAGTCGAGTGTACGTATATGCGAAAAGCCCCTTGTATGCAGAGCATTTCAGGCAAACTTAAAGTTAACCTAAGATTAATTAGGCTATAAAAGATTAAATGGCCATTAGATGAGTTACAGTAAATACTACAAGTGATGTTTATGTGTGAACACTTCAATTTCCAGATTAATAATGGAGTACTTTAAGACTATATATATTACCATATATCAAAGCAATCCATGTATTGGAGATAGTGTCAAAGGTATAAAACTTTCTATGTACTGAACTTTTAAATGTTGCACATTGTACAGAACTAATTCTAAATCAGAATTTTTGCAAATATTGCAGGCATGAGAGGTCTTGTTTTCTGGGTAGGAGCCTTCAAGATCAACACTGTCTCACAATGGGAGTGGACTGATGGACAACTGGTTGACTCCATGTCTTATGTGTATGTTCACCATTATTTCAAGTCATTTAATTTTTCTGAAGAAATATTCTTCCACTAGTACTGTATCTCACATGCTTCAAACTTCAATGTCTTGATGCTGCCTATTATTATTATTCTTATTATTTTTGTAATACACTGGCCATCTCCCACCAAGGCAGGGTGACCCAGGAAAGATGTAATGAAAGTTTTTCTTCCTTTTACATTTAATAATTTATACTGAAGAAGGGGTTACTAGCCCTTTGCTCCCACGACGAGCATGGCTTATGGAGGAACAGTTCTTCTCCACTTCCCCATTGAGATTATATTTATGGGGAAGGTTTAAACCTATAGAGATCACACAGGGTTTGGGTAATGAGATGTGGGGGGTGGGGGTTAATCAGATTTGATCTGGGAAAGAGGACACTTTCAATTCCTTCAATCAAGACCTGGTATGCAAGCCCTGCCTATCAAACATTTACAGGTCCACCATCACAAATCTGGCAATCAGATATCCGGTTCCATCAGTTACTCAGCACTAATTTTGGCTAGCATAATTTCAAATTTCCAGGGTTGCCACACCAACCTGCTGGTACTGTTTGGTGGCGCTACTTGCTGCATAAGTCATTCCAATTTCTTTTTCTCTATTTACTGTTATAACCTGCCTACTTTTAGCCCTAGCCATGGTTCCAACAAATAAAAGAAATGTTTCTCGTTGTGTAAAGCACCTACACAATACATTTTTCATTAAAGATAAGGTGGCTCTGAAGCCACTGTCGGTTGCTATGAGCTCAGTCTCGTGGTGCAGGGGAATATGCTTTATTATTATGCTAATATCAACACTATGGCTTATTTGCCTATTACAACTGATCTAATATGACATAATAAAGAATATAAATAACATAAAAACATGTTAAATACTCCAGAATGAATAATATTTGGCATAATACCGAGCAGTTCGACGGAGGTATGAAGAGGATATGGGATACAAGTACCATTTTCTTATCCCCGTCTTGGGGGCTTATATTAGAGAAAACAGAGTATAGCACAGGGCTAACTGTGCTATACACTTGTACTGCACCATAAAACTGAAACAAAAAAGTTATTTTCTCTACATAGATTATCACACACAGCACCATATGTATAGAGAACCTAGGATAACCCAAAAAAGTCAGACAAAGTGGCATATTTCTAGTGCCTGGCTTGGGCTAGCCATGTATGATTTTTGGTAAATATTTGATTCCCAGCCAGGGTAAATACATTGGGTGTGTTTCTTTACACCTGTTGTCTATGTTCACCCATCAGTAAATGGGTACCTGGTGTTAGTGGACTGGTGTGGGTATTATCCTGGGACACTGACCTAATTTACCTGAAATGCTTAGCATAACAAGGGGCTGTCTATATAGTAGTATGTCACTGATGTCAGCTAGGCCTGTATATCATGTACATGTATGTGTAGTAAATAAAGATATTATTATTTTTTTCTCTCAGTTGTTTGTTGGGCTATCTTAATGAAACTTGGGCAATGTATGATGGAAAGAGGCCTCTTAACATACACCAAAAATGAAAGAAATCAGACCATAAGTAACGGAGTTCACTTTTCAGCCATTAGCAGACCCAGAGTGGTATATTTTCGTATGGTTTTTATGGTTGTATTCTCATTTTTTGGGTCTCACTTGATAGAATGGATGATATATTACAGAATTTTATTTTATTTTTATTAACACATCGGCCAATTCCTACCAAGGCAGGGTGGCCCGAAAAAGAAAAACTTTCATCATCATTCACTCCATCACTGTCTTGCCAGAGGGGTGCTTTACACTACAGTTCTAAAACTGCAACATTAACACCCCTCTTTCAGAGTGTAGACACTGTACTTCCCATCTCCAGAACTCATGAAAGCAATCGAGTCCAGCCTGCCGGACTCGACTGCTTTCATGAAGAAAAGTACCTTGAAATTGCGCTCACAGTAGTGGATATGTTTGATTCTTTAGCGATTTTCAAAAGTAAACAAATGAAGTCACCGTCTAATACGTGTGCGCCTGCCAGTCCAAATTCCTATACGCAGTCACGAATGGGTTGACATTCTTTATACAATTATTACAATAATGCAATAGTCTGCATAACAGTAAATCTTCTATTTTTTTTGTGCGAATAAAATTTCTAAATGGTAAGCAAGAGTAATATCAGAGGGGCCTGGAGCCATGACTAATAAACATAGAAAATGTTATTTTAGTGCCAGGAATATCTGCATTGTTTATTCTGGACCCTATTTAGAAATTGGCATGTTGAAATTTGTGAGAAATTGGCCAAATTGCCAATTTCTAACCACTTTACTGGGTAGTTGAAATAGGTGAATGGGCAGTTTCTTGTACTCAATCGACAGAATAGAAGTAAATAAGTAAGTTTATTCAAGTATACACAAATACAGTTACATAGATTATCATACATAGTAGCGTATGCATAGAGAACCTATGATAACCCAAAAAAGTCAGTGACTTACTTCCAGTACGTACCTGGCTTGGGCTTGCCATATATGATTTTTAATAAATATTTTTTTTCTTGGTTGTTTGTTGGGCTATCTTATTGAAACTTGGGCAATGTATGATGGAAAGATGCTTCTTAATGTACACCAAAAATAAAAAAAATGGACGATAAATAAGGGCTTTCACTTCTCAGCCATTAGCAGCCTCTTTGCGGTATATTTTCGTACGGTTGTATTCTTGTTTTTTTTTGGTCTCATTTGATAGAATGGAAGATATAGTACAGAAATAGATATGATTTTGATTGGTTTCATGACAAAAAGTACCTTGAAATTCAGCTCAAAGTAGCGTAAATGTTCAATTTTTGCCGATGTTCAATGAACTTTGTGTAAGTCAAGTTGGTTAATTTTATTAAGTGTATTCTAACCTAACCACTCCGAAATCTGGCAAACTCAGTAATCCGGCACACTATAGGTCCCAATGATGCCGGATTTGTGATGGAGGACCTGTATTACTGCTCTATCTACCAACTTGATGGCCTTTGATATCTTTATTATGTTTGAACTTATACATAGGGTTCACTTCCATTATCCCATACTACCTGGTCTAGTCCAGAACAAAGCAGTGGGGAGCAGTGACCCCAAGAACAAATAGGTCAGTAAACCTTCCCTCACAATGAAAAAGTTAATTTTTACATTTATTTATCTTGTTTTATAATTTATGTATACCACTGTTCTGATCCCACATATGTATTTCAAACATTATCTCTAAAGTGTAAAGCCTGTTAACATTTTCACTGTCAGTCCTGTAATATTACGGCTTGCAAGCCAGTGTCGGTCCCTTAATACAATGCCAAAATTCTTGCAGCTTCCAGTCTTATGGGAGATAGCTGGTAAGCCTACATATGAGAGAATGGGTCTGAGTAGTCAGTGTGTGCAGTATTAAAAAAATCCTGCAGCATGCAGTGCATAGTGAGGAAAAAAAAACTACAACTGTTTTTGGTTTAAAACAGCGACTTTGTGGTGTATTTTCATATGGTATTTATGGTTGTAGTCTCATTTTCTTGGTCTCATTTGATAGAATGAGAGATATACTACAGAAATAGAGATGATTTTGAATGGTTTACAGACTAAAAGTACCTTGAAATTAGCTCAAATTAGCGGAAATGTTTAATTTTCGCCAATGTTCAAAAGTAAACACATCATGTCATGCGTCCAATACACATCAACTGGTGGGTCTAATATGCTTTCACAAATGTGTTGATATTATTTATACCATTTTTACAATAATGCAGTAGTCTGCATTAACAGTAAATATTCTATTTTTTGTGTGAATAAAAATTCAAAATGGAATGCAAGCGTAATATAAGAGGGGACTGGAGACATGACTAATGAACAGAGAAAATGTTATTTTAGTATTAGGAATTTTTGCACTGTTTATTCTGGATCCTATTTTGAAATTGGCCTTCCTTGAATTTTTCTATGAAATTGGTCAAATTATCAATTTCTGATCACTTTACTGGGTAGTTGAAATAGGTAAATGGGCGGTTTCTTGTACTCAGTCAATAGAACAAAAGGAGTTTTAGCGAAATAGCTATGAGTTTGGCTGAAAATAAAGCTCAAAGTGGGAGAAATCACCGATGCATAAATGTCGCCCAGATCGCTAACTTCACGAGAGAATAATTCCACAAGTTTTCCACCAAATTTCGTACTTCTGGTTTCATTACCATCAGGAAAAGATTCTCTATCATCTCATAAGTTTTTTTTTTTTAAATCCTTTGACACAGACCAAGTTTGAGAGCAGGGGCCATGACAGTGAAAGGGTTAACTGAAACATGACCCCAAAAGGGAGGTGCAGTGATGCTACAAGGTCCTCTCACTCCAAGAACTGCACCTATCCTTTCCCTCCTTGGATTAAACCTGACTGCCTCCATTTCCCAGGGGTTGTATGATCCCTATTGGATAAGTTCCTCCCCCTTAATGTATCATAAGAATAATAATAATAATAATAATTGTAATTATAATTTTTTCTCCCAATGATGGCTATCTCCCACTGAGGCAGGGTGACCCAAAAAAGAAGAAAGGAAAAATTTCTTTTTAAATTTAGTGGTTTATACAGAAGGGGCTACTGGCCCCTTTGCTCCCAGCATTTTAGTTGCATCTTATGACATGCATGGCTTATGGAAGGATTCTTCTCCATTTCCCCATGGAGAATAATGATAATAATAATAATAATAATTAATAACTGTACCATGAAAGTTGTGAGCTAGTTCCTTGTTCTTTCAAGATTCTTATGCTATGGGGCTCAAACTTAAAGTCTGCAATAGCAATTCTGGCCCTTAAACTCTGAAGCAAATCTCGTAACAAATCAGTAGATCTTCTCGAGTTTTCTTATTAGTCTGAGGAGGTATAGTAGCCATGATAGTGCTGCATACTCCAATATTGGCCTCAACCAAATGTAATAACCTTGACTGGAGACAGTTTAATATGGAGATATAGAGACTGTCTCCAATATCTCACAGAATAAGTCCACATTGAGGTTCATAAAACCTCTTGACTTCTAAAGTTGCATATGTAACTGAGACACTGTTTTGTGTGCCTCTAGTAACAGGTTTAATATTATGCCTACCACAAGCTTCTCCCCTTCTCATACATACCCTTACTACTACTCAGTTCATACAGTACTAGAGATTTCTTTCTTGCTTCTATCACCTTCCATTTATTGAGGTGAATTTGAGCGGCTATTCATCTGACCACTCTTAACCCTTAAATGGTCCAAATGTATATATACGTAAATAACAAAAAAGGCACAATACCGTGACTGGAACGATACACAAATAACCCGCACATAAAAGAGAGAAGTTTACGACGACGTTTCGGTCCGACTTGGACCACTGACAAAGTCACTTTGTCAATGGTCCAAGTCGGACCGAAACGTCGTTGTAAGCTTCTCTCTTTTATGTGCGGGTTATTTGTGTATATGTACATTTTTTCAACATCTGAAAGTATGTAAAAAAATGTAGATCATCTTTTTTGTTTTACATTTGAAAACGTGTAAAAAAAACTTTTATCTACATTTTTTTTGTTATATTTGAAAATATGTAAAAAAAAAGTAGATCTACTTTTGTAGCAATACGAATTTGAATGTCAATCTGTTTGGACCGTTTAAGGGTTAAAGCCTCACTATATCATCTAGTAGCTTTTTGCAATCAGTGGCAGTGTCAAGGGAAGCAAGGAGGGGAAGGCTGAAGACTCCTCGAAAGTTTCAATAGCTCCCCGAATGAAAATAAAAACACAGCTAGTAACATTTTTTCATGAGTACATTTTCCTTTTATAACTGCTCACATTTTTTCTTTCATACTGTAAAAGAATTATTTTATCCATTTCAATAACATTCCATTTATTCACTCTATACAGTGGAACCCTGGTTTTCATCCTTAACCCCTTCAGGGTCCAAGGCCCAAATCTGAAGTGGTGCCCCAGTGTCCAAGAATTTAAAAAAAAAAATTTTGTTATTTTTTCTTATGAAATGGTAGAGAATCTTTTTGTGAAGGTAATAAAACAAAAAGTACGAAATTTGATGGAAAATTGACAAAATTATGCTCTCGCAAATTTTGATGTGTGAGCGATATTTACGAATCGGCAATTTTGCCGACTTTAACTCCCATTTTAGGCCAATTACATTATTCCAGTCAACCAAATTCTTAGCTATTTCACTAGTATTACTTCTATTCTATCGATTGGGCACAAGAAATCGCCAAGTCAACTGTTTCAACTACAAATTAAAGTGATCGGAAATTGTTAATTTGGCCAATTTAACACAAAGTTCAAAATATTCCAATTTCAAAACAGGGTCCAGAATAAACAATGTAGGTATTCCTGGAACTAAACTAACATTTCCTCTGTTCATTAGTTATGTTTTGAGGCTTTACAAATAAATTCCATTTTGATGTTTTATTCACATAATGAATTTTTATTCACACCAAAAAATAGAAGATTTACTGTTATGCAATACTGTAATAATTGTATAAATATCATCACCATATTTGTGAATGCATATTAGACCCACCAGCTGGCGTGTATTAGATGTGTGAGGTCGTTTGTTTACTCTTGAATATCAGCCAAAATTTAACATTTCTGCTACTTTGAGCTCAGTTTCAAGCCATTTCCAGTGCTGAAACCAATCAAAATCATCTCTATTTCTGTAATATGTCTTCCATTCTATCAAATGAGACCAAGATATCACAAATACAACTATAAAAAACGTATAAAAAAACGCTGCAAAGTCGCTGTTTCAATCGAAAAATCATGATTTCAGTTTTTTTCTCTCATTATACACAGTGTGCTGCAGGATCTGTTTTATGTAGTGCACACATACCACATAGCTGTATTCTCTCATATCTAGGCCCAAATGTACCACTCACAGTTTATCAGAGTGAGCTGAGCTCATGACGTAGATCTACGGTTTGGACCCTGAACGTAAAGCCGTAGATCTATGGGACGGACCCTGAAAGGGTTAATCCGTTCCAGAATTTAGGTCGAAATCCGAAATGGACAAAAACCGAAGTAATATTTCCCACAAGAAATAATGTAAATACAATTAATCCGATCCAAACACCCAAAAAATATTAACAAAAAATCCATTTTATAGAGAATAGCTATAGTTTTACATACAGAAAACAATGAGAAATAAATATAAAGCACTAATGAAATGAATAAAAGAACATTTAAATAATTTTTACCTTTATTGAAGACTCTTGCTGGCATATGGAAGACAGCGAGGAGGGGAGAGGGAGGAGAGATTATCTCTACCACCATCACTACTACCCTATAATACGATCACTACCACACACTACCACCCTCCACCATCATCACTACCACCCTCTACCACAATCACTACCACCCTCTATCACCATCACAACCACTACCACCCTACCACCATCACTACCACCCTCTACAAGTAACAAAGGCAGACTGAGTCACGTACTTGTGAGCAGGGCCGCGTCCAGGGCAGGCGGACACGTCTCATATGGATGATTTCCGAGTGGAGGTACGAAACCCAGAGTAAAATTTCGCCCAAAAATGTGGTTGAAATCTGATTTGTATGATATTCACACAGACGAAATCCGGGATTCCACTGTATTTTGTAGTAAAGATGTGTAAACCCTTGTAATAGGTTATTTATTCCATAAACATTAAGTTACTACTCATTTCTCAACATTTTATCTTAATCTTCCAGCTGGAATGCAGGTGAACCTGCCGAAAGTTCAACTGGCACCCGGGGAGTGCTTGTTCCAGCTAACTCTCACCGCTTCTACATGATATCCCAAACGAACACCTCCCATGCACCTTCCTTCATCTGTGAAGCTGCTCCCAAGTGTGACAGAGAATAGTTTTCAATGCCTGTTTTTAAAATGAACAGAACATACTGTACAAACACATGCTCCTACATCTAAGAGAGTACATAGATACTAACAGTTTCTAAACTGAACAGAGCACAGACACTGTATAAACACCTGTATATAAATATATAAAAATATCAGAGTGAAAATAGAAAAAAACCTGATCACTTTCATGTGCTTACACACATGTCTTCAGAGGAGAACTGAACAGATACAACACCTGCTACAAAATATAACAGAGTATAAATACTAACACCAGCTTCTGAATGTAACAAAGCACAGATACTGTATGAACACCTGTATCTAAATGTAACAGAGAACAGAGACTAACATCTCTAACAATGAAAAGCATAGATACCTGAACATACTTCTAAATGCAAGAGAAATTCAAAAGATTAGATATTGCGTAAACACCTGTACGTAAATATAACAGTGTACAGATGTCAACACTTGTATCTAGATATAATAGACTACATACCAACACCTGCTCCTGAATGTAACAGAACAGAGATACTGTATGAATACCTGCATCTAAATGTAACAGTATACAGATGTCAACACTTGCTCCTATTTAACAACAGATACTAACACCTGCTCCTAAATGCAACAGTACAAACATCTGCTCCCATGTAACAACAGATCCCAACACCTGCTCCTAAATGTAATAGCACAAACACAAACATCTGCTTCTATATGTAACACAGCATACATACCAACACCTGTCTATTTGACAAATAAGTCACACTGCTTGCCTTCTTGGGACAGCCTGGGTTGATAGCCCTTTGGGGTTAGTAACCCAAAGAATGTCCTCATTTTTTAGGACATAGCATTATTCCTTCACTAAAATTACACTAATAACAATTTTGTTGCAGATACTAAAGATGATACACTATTAGCATAATTACTAAGACATCATATAGAGTAATTCAACCAGTGGTAATTCTTCTTTCTTTCAATGCACCAGCCATATCCCACCGAGGCAGGGTGGCCCAAAAGGAAAAATGAAAGTTTCTCCGGCATGATAGTGGCTTTCTTTGTATTTAGCAAACCAAAATTATAATTACACATTTTAACTTCTACAAAGAAATAAATCTTTATCTTTATCTTTTATATAGAGGAGAAGGGGTTACTAGCCCCTTGCTCCTGGCATTTTAGTCGCCTCTTACGACACACATGGAGTGATAATTTTTTTTTTTTTAACAAGTCGGCCGTCTCCCACTGAGGCAGGGTGACCCAAAAAGAAAATACTTTCATCATCATTCAACACTTTCACCTCACTTACACATAATCACTGTTTTTGCAGAGGTGCCCACAATACAACAGTTTAGAAGTATATATGTATAAAAATACACAATATATCCCTCCAAACTGCCAATATCCCAAACCCCTCCTTTAGAGTGCAGGCACTGTACTTCCCATTTCCAGGACTCAAGTACGGTTATATAAAATAACCAGTTTCCCTGAATCCCTTCACTAAATATTACCCTGCTCACACTCCAACAGATCGTCAGGTCCCAAATACCATTCATCTCCATTCACTCCTATCTAACACGCTCACGCACGCTTGCTGGAAGTCCAAACCCCTCGCTCACAACACCTCCTTTACCTCCTCCCTCCAACCTTTTCGAGGACGACCCCTACCCCGCCTTCCTTCCCCTACAGATTTATACGCTCTCCATGTCATTCTACTTTGATCCATTCTCTCTAAATGACCAAACCACCTCAACAAACCCTCTTCAGCCCTCTAATACTTTTATTTATTAACTCCACACCCTGTCCTAATTTCCACACTCCAAATTTTCTGCATAATATTTACACAATTATTATTATTATTTATTATTATCACACTGGCCGATTTCCACCAAGGCAGGGTGGCCCGAAAAAGAAAAACTTTCATCATCATTCACTCCATCACTGTCTTGCCAGAAGGGTGCTTTACACTACAGTTTTTAAACTGCAACATTAACATTTAACAGGGGTACTCTCAATGCCAAATCCATGGTTGAGGAAACATCTTCACAGTGACATCACTTCCAAAATTATTGACTTCTATCATTCTCCACATGTGAGCAATAAATGCCAGGGTTGAGACACTATGTTTCAGTAACAGGCATTGGTGGTAATCAGGAAAAAATACAAATTCTTTGTCTTGTTCAATTTGAAAGAAAAGTTTTTTCAAATACAGTGGCGCCTCAAGTTACAAACTTAATTTGTTCTAGGAGGCTGTTTGAGTGCTGATACCAAACTAATTTGTTCCCATAAGGAATAATGTAAATTAGATGAGTCCGTTTCAGACTCCCAAAAATACACTTACAAAAGCACTTAAAAAAGTACACTTACATAATTGTTTGAGTTGGGAGCTGTTCGAAGCTCGAGGTACCACTGTATGGCTAAAATCATGTTTATTTTACGTTTAAAAATGTGACTACAGAAGCAGAGCTAAGCTTATGGTGTTCTGTCTTCATTATTTAGTCAATTGTAAAGCTTTTTCAGGTCTGTCTTGCAGTACGAATTTGTAACAGAATAATTTTTTATAACATACTGCGTTTAATCACCAACTATGTATCAGAAAAGTCTAGTGGTTTGAAAAGTTAAAAACTTTTCAGACTACTAAGAGCTCATTATCAGTGGCCAATTAGTTACTGTACTGAGGAGGTGAGGCTGAGCATCTGTGACAACTTTACTTAAGTTTGACATAAATGCTTAATAAAACTGACAAGTTAAAGAACTGGACACTTTTCCAACATTTGGAAACCTTTATTGTGAAAATGTTTTGCCAACAAGTGGCTTTCTCAGTCCAGTACAGAGATGAATGGTGGATGATGATGAGGAGTTGGAGGTAATCAGTCCCTCAGCCTGGGGGGCTGATTACCTCAAACTCATCCTCATCTTCCACCATTCACTCTGTACTGGACTGAAGAAGCCACTTGCTGGAAAACATTTCCACAATGAAGATTCCCAAATGTTGCAAAAGTGTCTAATTCTTCAAGCTGGCACTGGAAAAGCACCTAAAGTCAGTACCTGACCAGCCGGGCTGTGGCTCGTACGCTGGTTTGCGTGCAGCCAGCAGTAACAGCCTGGTTGATCAGGCTCTGATCCACCAGGAGGCCTGGTCACAGACCGGGCCGCGGGGGCGTTGACCCCCGGAACTCTCTCCAGGTAAACTCCAGGTAAGTTACCTCAATATCTAATTTGGCACTGATGACAAAATCTTATTATTTTAAAAAGTTTTAAGTCTTTGGAAGTTAGAACTAGTGACTGAAACCTCCATTATTAATGAGATCTTGTGATTATTTATAAAAGTTGTATCATATGTGCAAGATAATTACTACTGTACTCTTGTACTTCATCAAAATTGCATTATTATTTAGAATAAAAAAGGCATTAACAAAAAAGATAAGAATGATTTCTCTATTATTCCTACTCTGTCTAGTAATGTCTTTGTCCCCTAACATAAAATTAAATATGTAATGCTCATAAATATTATTTAATTTGTTTATTAACACATCGGTCATTTCCTGCCGAGGCAGGATGACCAGAAAAAAGAAGGAACACTTTCATCAACATTCGCTCCACCATCATTCGCTCCACCATCATTCGCTCCACCATCATTCGCTCCACCATCATTTGCTCCACCATCATTCGCCACACCATCATTCGCCCCACCATCGTTTGCTCCACCATCATTCACTCCACCATCATTTGCTCCACCATCATTTGTTGCACCATCATTCGCTCCACCGTTATTCACTGACTTGTTCAATTGTTACCTCCACAGTGTTATCTAAAACACTTAATACATGAAACTAAAATTACATATTATATTGCTTATTTAAATACCTGCAATGGTATTAAGTAATTTGTAAGTACAGTAACTAATTTCAATCTGTTCAGTATGCACTGCATAATAGTTTCCTCAGAATGTTGCACAAAAAAGATGTAATCCCAGAGTGGAATCTACACCCCATAATTACCGGAAATAAAATTTGATTGATCTGATTTGTTGTGACATATAGGAGACCTACGATTCCATTTCACAATTAGGGGATTTTTGCGCCTATGATTTTACTCATGTATCTATATTATTATATTATATTATAGGTAGTAGGTTGGCAGACAGCAACCACCCAGGGAGGTACTACCGTTCTGCCAAGTGAGTGTAAAACGAAAAACCTGTAATTGTTTTACATGATGGTAGGATTGCTGGAGTCTTTTGTCTGTCTCATAAATATGCAAGATTACAGGTACGTCTTGCTACTTCTACTTACACTTAGGTCACACTAAACATACATGTACACGTTTATTTATACACACTCATCTGAGTTTTCTTTGATTTTATCTTAGTTCTTGTTCCAATTACTTTTCCTTTTATATCCATGGGGAAGTGGAATAAGAATCTTTCCTCCGTAAGCCATGCGTGTTGTAAAAGTCAACTAAAATGCTGGGAACAATGGGCTAGTAACCCCTTTTCCTGTAATAATTACTAAAAAGAATAAGAAGAAAATTGTCAAAGTGGGAAGTCTGAATGTGCGTGGATGTTGTGCAAATGATAAGAAAAAGATGATTGTGAATGTTATGAATGAGAAGAAGCTGGATGTTCTGGCTTTAAGTGAAACAAAGCTGAAGGGGGTGGATGAGTTTCAGTGGAGAGGAATAAATGGGATTAGGTCAGGGGTTTCTAATAGTTAAAGCTAAAGAAGGAGTAGCAATAATGTTGAAGGATAAGCTATGGCAGGAAAAGAGGGACTATAAATGTATTAATTCAAGGATTACGTGGAGTAAAATAAAGGTTGGATGTGAGAAGTGGGTTATAATAAGCGTATATGCACCTGGGGAAGAGAGAAGTATAGAGGAGAGGGAGAGATTTTGGGAAATGTTGAGTAATTGCGTGGGGAGTTTTGAACCAAGTGTGAGATTAATGGTGGTTGGGGATTTTAATGCTAAAGTGGGAAGAAATGTTGTGGAGGGAGTAGTAGGTAAATTTGGGGTGCCAGGGGTAAATGAAAATGGGGAGCCTTTAATTGAGCTATGTGTAGAAAGAGGTTTGGTAATAAGTAATACATATTTTATGAAAAAGAGGATAAATAAATATACAAGGTATGATGTAGCATATAATGAAAGTAGTTTGTTAGATTATGTATTGGTGGATAAAAGATTGATGGGTAGGCTCCAGGATGTACACGTTTATAGAGGGGCAACTGATATATCGGATCATTATCTAGTTGTAGCTACAGTTAGAGTAAGAGGTAGATGGGAAAAGAGGAAAGGTGGCAACAAGAGGGAGGGAGGTGAAAGTGTATAAACTAAGGGAGGAGGAAGTTCGGGTGAAATATAAGCAACTATTGGCAGAAAGGTGGGCTGGTGCAAGAATGAGTAGTGGTGGGGTTGAAGAGAGTTGGAATAGTTTTGAAAATGCACAGACCGGGCCTCGGGGGCATTGACCCCCGAAACTCTCTCCAGGTAAACTCCAGGTAATAGGAGGGTGGGTGCAGGAGGAAAGAGGAGTGATTGGTGGAATTATGAAGTAAAGGGTGTGATAAAAGAGAAAAAGTAAGCTTATGAGAGGTATTTACAAAGCAGATGTGTTATAAGAAGAGTAGAGCATATGGAGAGTAAAAGAAAGGTGAAGAGAGTGGTGAGAGAGTGCAAAAGGAGAGCGGATGATAGAGTGGGAGAGGTACTGTCAAGGAATTTTAATGAAAATAAGAAAAAATTTTGGAGCGAGTTAAACAAGTTAAGAAAGCCTAGGGAACAAATGGATTTGTCAGTTAAAAACAGAGTAGGGGAGTTAGTAGATGGGGAGAGGGAGGTTTTGGGTAGATGGCGAGAATATTTTGAGGAACTTTTAAATGTCGACAAAGAAAGGGAGGCGGTAATATCATGCACTGGACAGGGAGGTATACCATCTTTTAGGAGTGAAGTAGAGCAGGATGTGAGTGTAGGGAAGGTGCGTGAGGCATTACGTAGAATGAAAGGGGGTAAAGCAGCTGGAACTGACGGGATCATGACAGAAATGTTAAAAGCAGGGGGGGGGGACATAGTGTTGGAGTGGTTGGTATTTTTGTCTAATAAATGTATGAAAGAGGGGAAAGTACCTAGGGATTGACGGAGAGCGTGTATAATCCCTTTATATAAAGGGAAGGGGGACAAAAGAGATTGCAAAAACTTTTTTATTATTATTATCACACTGGCCGATTCCCACCAAGGCCGGGTGGCCCGAAAAAGAAAAACTTTCACCATCATTCACTCCATCACTGTCTTGCCAGAAGGGTGCTTTACACTACAGTTTTTAAACTGCAACATTAACACCCCTCCTTCAGAGTGCAGGCACTGTACTTCCCATCTCCAGGACTCTAAGTCCGGCCTGCCGGTTTCCCTGAACCCCATCATAAATGTTACTTTGCTCACACTCCAACAGCACGTCAAGTATTAAAAACCATTTGTCTCCATTCACTCCTATCAAACACGCTCACGCATGCCTGCTGGAAGTCCAAGCCCCTCGCACACAAAACCTCCTTTACCCCCTCCCTCCAGCCTTTCCTAGGCCGACCCCTACCCCGCCTTCCTTCCACTACAGACTGATACACTCTTGAAGTTATTCTGTTTCGCTCCATTCTCTCCACATGTCTGAACCACCTCAACAACCCTTCCTCAGCCCTCTGGACAACAGTTTTGGTAATCCCGCACCTCCTCCTAACTTCCAAACTACGAATTCTCTGCATTATATTCACACCACACATTGCTCTCAGACATGACATCTCCACTGCCTCCAGCCTTCTCCTCGCTGCAACATTCATCACCCATGCTTCACACCCATATAAGAGCGTTGGTAAAACTATACTCTCATACATTCCACTCTTTGCCTCCAAGGACAAAGTTCTTTGTCTCCAGAGACTCCTAAGTGCACCACTCACCCTTTTCCCCTCATCAATTCTATGATTCACCTCATCTTTCATAGACCCATCCGCTGACACGTCCACTCCCAAATATCTGAATACATTCACCTCCTCCATACTCTCTCCCTCCAATCTGATATCCAATCTTTCATCACCTAATCTTTTTGTTATCCTCATAACCTTACTCTTTCCTGTATTCACTTTCAATTTTCTTCTTTTGCACACCCTACCAAATTCATCCACCAATCTCTGCAACTTCTCTTCAGAATCTCCCAAGAGCACAGTGTCATCAGCAAAGAGCAACTGTGACAACTCCCACTTTATGTGTGATTCTTTATCTTTTAACTCCACGCCTCTTGCCAAGACCCTCGCATTTACTTCTCTTACAACCCCATCTATAAATATATTAAACAACCACGGTGACATCACACATCCTTGTCTAAGGCCTACTTTTACTGGGAAATAATTTCTCTCTTTCCTACATACTCTAACTTGAGCCTCACTATCCTCGTAAAAACTCTTCACTGCTTTCAGTAACCTACCTCCTACACCATACACCTGCAACATCTGCCACATTGCCCCCCTACCCACCCTGTCATACGCCTTTTCCAAATCCATAAATGCCACGAAGACCTCTTTAGCCTTATCTAAATACTGTTCACTTATATGTTTCACTGTAAACACCTGGTCCACACACCCCCTACCTTTCCTAAAGCCTCCTTGTTCATCTGCTATCCTATTCTCCGTCTTACTCTTAATTCTTTCAATAATAACTCTACCATACACTTTGCCAGGTATACTCAACAGACTTATCCCCCTATAATTTTTGCACTCTCTTTTATCCCCTTTTCCTTTATACAAAGGAACTATGCATGCTCTCTGCCAATCCCTAGGTACCTTACCCTCTTCCATACATTTATTAAATAATTGCACCAACCACTCCAAAACTATATCCCCACCTGCTTTTAACATTTCTATCTTTATCCCATCAATCCCAGCTGCCTTACCCCCTTTCATTTTACCTACTGCCTCACGAACTTCCCCCACACTCACAACTGGCTCTTCCTCACTCCTACAAGATGTTGTTCCTCCTTGCCCTATACACGAAATCACAGCTTCCCTATCTTCATCAACATTTAACAATTCCTCAAAATATTCCCTCCATCTTCCCAATACCTCTAACTCTCCATTTAATAACTCTCCTCTCCTATTTTTAACTGACAAATCCATTTGTTCTCTAGGCTTTCTTAACTTGTTAATCTCACTCCAAAACTTTTTCTTATTTTCAACAAAATTTGTTGATAACATCTCACCCACTCTCTCATTTGCTCTCTTTTTACATTGCTTCACCACTCTCTTAACATCTCTCTTTTTCTCCATATACTCTTCCCTCCTTACATCACTTCTACTTTGTAAAAACTTCTCATATGCTAACTTTTTCTCCCTTACTACTCTCTTCACATCATCATTCCACCAATCATCCTCTTCCCTCCCGCACCCACTTTCCTGTAACCACAAACTTCTGCTGAACACTCTAACACTACATTTTTTAACCTACCCCATACCTCTTCGACCCCATTGCCTATGCTCTCATTAGCCCATCTATCCTCCAATAGCTGTTTATATCTTACCCTAACTGCCTCCTCTTTTAGTTTATAAACCTTCACCTCTCTCTTCCCTGATGCTTCTATTCTCCTTGTATCCCATCTACCTTTTACTCTCAGTGTAGCTACAACTAGAAAGTGATCTGATATATCTGTGGCCCCTCTATAAACATGTACATCCTGAAGTCTACTCAACAGTCTTTTATCTACCAATACATAATCCAACAAACTACTGTCATTTCGCCCTACATCATATCTTGTATACTTATTTATCCTCTTTTTCTTAAAATATGTATTACCTATAACTAAACCCCTTTCTATACAAAGTTCAATCAAAGGGCTCCCATTATCATTTACACCTGGTACCCCAAACTTACCTACCACACCCTCTCTAAAAGTTTCTCCTACTTTAGCATTCAGGTCCCCTACCACAATTACTCTCTCACTTGGTTCAAAGGCTCCTATACATTCACTTAACATCTCCCAAAATCTCTCTCTCTCCTCTGCATTCCTCTCTTCTCCAGGTGCATACACGCTTATTATGACCCACTTCTCACATCCAACCTTTACTTTAATCCACATAATTCTTGAATTTACACATTCATATTCTCTTTTCTCCTTCCATAACTGATCATTCAACATTACTGCTACCCCTTCCTTTGCTCTAACTCTCTCAGATACTCCAGATTTAATCCCATTTATTTCCCCCCACCGAAACTCCCCAACCCCCTTCAGCTTTGTTTCGCTTAGGGCCAGGACATCCAACTTCTTTTCATTCATAACATCAGCAATCATCTGTTTCTTGTCATCCGCACTACATCCACGCACATTTAAGCATCCCAGTTTTATAAAGTTTTTCTTCTTCTCTTTTTTAGTAAATGTCTACAGGAGAAGGGGTTACTAGCCCATTGCTCCCGGCATTTTAGTCGCCTCATACGACACGCATGGCTTACGGAGGAAAGATTCTTTTCCACTTCCCCATGGACAATAGAAGAAATAAAGAGGAACAAGAGCTATTTAGAAAAAAGAGAAAAACCTAGATGTATGTATATATATATGCATGTGCGTGTCTGTGAAGTGTGACCAAAGTGTAAGTAGGAGTAGCAAGATATCCCTGTTATCTAGCGTGTTTATGAGACAGAAAAAGAAACCAGCAATCCTACCATCATGCAAAATAGTTACAGGTTTCTGTTTCACAGTCATCTGGCAGGACGGTGGTTGCTGTCTACCAACCTACTACCTATAAATTATAGAGGAATAAGTTTACTCAGTATACCAGGAAAAGTGTACGGTAGGGTTATTACTGAAAGAATTAGAGGCAAGACAGAATGTAGAATTGCAGACGAGCAAGGAGGTTTTAGAGTGGGTAGGGGGTGTGTAGATCAAGTGTTTACATTGAAGCATATATGTGAGCAGTACATATTTAGATAAAGGTAGGGAAGTTTTTATTGCATTTATGGATTTAGAAAAGGAATATGATAGAGTGGATAGGGGAGCAATGTTGTAGATGTTGCAAGTATATGGAATAGGTGGTAAGTTACTAAATGCTGTAAATAGTTTTTATGAGAATAGCAAGGCTCAGGTTAGGGTGTTTAGAAGAGAGGGAGACTACTTCCCGGTAAAAGTAGGTCTTAGACAGGGATGTGTAATGTCACCATGGTTGTTTAATATATTTATAGATGGGGTTGTAAAAGAAGTAAATGCTAGGGTGTTCTGGAGAGGGGTGGGATTAAATTATGGGGAATTAAATACAAAATGGGAAGTGACCCAGTTACTTTTTGCTGATGATACTGTGCTTATGGGAGATTCTAAAGAAAAACTGCAAAGGTTAGTGGATGAATTTGGGAATGTGTGTAAAGGTAGAAAGTTGAAAGTAAACATAGAAAAGAGTAAGGTGATGAGAGTATCAAATGATTTAGATAAAGAAAAATTGGATATCAAATTGGGGAGGAGGAGTATGGAAGAAGTGAATGTTTTCAGATATTTGGGAGTTGAAGTATCAGCAGATGGATTTATGAAGGATGAGGTTAATCATAGAATTGATGAAGGAGAAAAGGTGAGTGGTGCATTGAGGTATATGTGGAGGCAAAAAATGTTATCTGTGGAGGCAAAGAAGGGAATGTATGAAAGTATAGTAGTACCAACACTCTTATATGGGTGTGAAGCTTGGGTTGCAAATGCTGCAGCGAGGAGGCGGTTGGAGGCAGTGGAGATGTCCTGTCTAAGAGCAATGTGTGGTGTAAATATTATGCAGAAAATTCGGAGTGTGGAAATTAGGAGAAGGTGTGGAGTTAATAAAAGTATTAGTCAGAGGGCTGAAGAGGGTTTGTTGAGGTGGTTTGGTCATTTAGAGAGAATGGATCAAAGTAGAATGACATGGAGAGCGCATAAATCTGTAGGGGAAGGAAGGCGGGGTAGGGGTCGTCCTCGAAAAGGATGGAGGGAGGGGGTAAAGGAGGTGTTGTGGGCGAGGGGTATGGACTTCCAGCAAGCCTGCGTGAGCGTGTTAGATAGGAGTGAATGGAGACAAATGGTATTTGGGACCTGACAATCTGTTGGAATGTGAGCAGGGTAATATTTAGTGAAGGGATTCAGGGAAACCGGTTATTTTATATAACCGGACTTGAGTCCTGGAAATGGGAAGTACAATGCCTGCACTCTAAAGGAAGGGTTTGGGATATTGGCGGTTAGGAGAGATATATTGTGTATTTTTATACATATATACTTCTAAACTGTTATATTCTGGGCACCTCTGCAAAAACAGTGATTATGTGTGAGTGAGGTGAAAGTGTTGAATGATGATGAAAGTATTTTCTTTTTGGGGATTTTCTTTCTCTTTGGGTCACCCTGCCTCGGTGGGAGACGGCCGACTTGTTGAGAAAAAAAAAAAACTATATTATCTGTATGCTTAAAAATATAAAGCATTATCATCATTAACAATGCCTGTATGACTTATCTAATTATTGTTTCAGTGCTGGGTTACATTTAGGGCGAGCATTAAACTGTAGGGGCCACACAGCACCTGGGAAATGGGAGGTAATTGGATTCCATCCCCCAATCAAGGAACCTCTCTTGAAGGCTCAAAGGCAATGACAAAGGTACAAAGATAAGATCTGTTTGGACTTTTAATATGGGGAAGTGTTAGCCACCCAGGATAACCCAAGAAAGTCAGTGCATCATCGAGAACTGCCTGTCTTATTTCCAGTATGGTCCTTCAGTCTCCTCCCCCAGGAGGCATCCCACACCAATTGACTAACACCCAGGTTCCTACTTACTGCTAGGTGAACAGGGACAGCAGGTGTAAGGAAACATAACCAACGTTTCCACCCAGCTGGGGACTGAACCACGGACACACGATGTGTGAGGCAAGAGCGTTGCCTACCAAGCCACTGGACATAATCAAGATGTAAATACATCTTCTATGTCAGAGGGGAAACCATTTTGTTAATTCTTGCAGAGTTTACATAGAGTACAATGTTTTACCTGTGTATGAAGAACTTCATGAATGTAGCCCTCATATTCCACATCACAAGAGTCACAAGGGCTTGATGCAATGACTGTGTCACCGATCATGAGAGATGGACGCTTCTCTGCCAACCCTGGCACAGTTAGGCTCAGGTACTCCCCATGTGGTGAAAAATTTGTCCTTGCCATATCAAACTGTAGAAAAAATGAAAGAACAGGTGAGTTTCTAATACTGCAGGATGAACAGAAAAGAAAACTAAGTGACAGATACATAAAAAGTGAAAAGAATAACTGTATTTCAGTTTATTGTTATAAGTTACTGTCTCAATTTATAAACAATTCAATAAAATTTGATCAAACAGTTTATCATTGACAATGTAGTAACAATATACAATATTTACCAAGAAATGGTTGAATTTATGTAAGACTGATGACATTTGTTTCACATCAGTTGTATCACATTCATATTGCATCATTTTCTTTTTTATTTGCATTAAGTTAGCCATGACAATTTTCTTGTGTGGGGGGCAAAGGGGAAAGATGTTAAGGGTTCTGTGGAGACTAAGAATATTATCCATGGAAGCAAAGAAGAGAATGTATTGTATGAGAGTATAGTGGTACCAATACCCTTATATGAGTGTGAAGCATGGGTTGTGAATATTGCGACAAGGAGAAGGTTGGAAGTAGTGGAGATGTCAAGTCTGAGGGCAATGTGCAGTATAAATATGCAGCGAATTTGTAGCTTGGAGATTAGGAGGAGGTGCAGAGTATCTAAAGGTATTATTCAGAGGGCTGAGGAGGGGTTGTTGAGCTATTTCATTCATTTATAAAGGATGGCATGAATTAGAATGACTTGGAGAGTGTATAAATCTGTAGTGGAAGGCAGGCAGGGAAGGGAGTCATCCTAGGAAAGGTTGGAGGGGGGTAAAGGAGGTTTGTGTGTGAAGGGCTTAGACTTCCATCAAGTATGCATGAGCGGTTAGGTAGGAGCGAGTGGAGGCAAATGTTTTTTTTTATGATGATGTGCTTCTGGAGTGTGAGCAAAGTAACATTTATGAAGGGATTCAGGAAAACTGGTTAGCTGGACTTGAGTCCTGGAGGTGTGAAGTACAGTGCTTGTGCTCTGAAGGAGGGGTGGATATATGTTGCAGTTTTTGTACTGTAGTATCAGCATGCCTCTGTCAAATTAGTGATGGCTTGAGTGATGATGAGTGTTTTTTTCTTTTTTGGGCCACCCTACCTTGGTGGGAAATGGCTGATGTGTCAATAAAAAAATATATAACCTAATTTAACACACCAGCCATCTCCCACTAAGAAAAAAAACTTTCACCATCATTCCCTCATTCCCCATCTCCCCAGAGGCATGCTAACATAACAGCTCAAATGACCCTTTGAACTGCAACATCTCCACTTCTCCAGAGGGCAGGCACTGTACTTCCCACCTTCAGCACTGAACTCCTGCTGACCGCTTTTCCTGAATCTCTTCATAAATGTTACCTTGCTCACACTCCAACAACACGTCAAATCATAAAAAAGCCACTTGCCTGCATACACTCCTATATAGCATATTCACACAAACCTGTTGATTGTTCAAACCCCTGGTCCTCAAAACCCTCCTTTACCCTCCCCCTCCTGCATCCAACCATTCCTGAGATTATCCTTACCCCTCCTTCCCTCTGCTCCAGATTTATACGACTCCCTTAGTCATTCTATTTTGCTCCATCCTCTTAACCCTTAAACTGTCCAAACAGATTTACATTCACATGCATAGTGCTCCAAAAGTAAATCTATGTTTTTTTTACATATTTTCAATAAAAAAAAAACGTAGATCAAAGTTTTTTTACACATTTACAAATGTAAAAAAAAAACAAAGAAGATCTACGTTTTTACACACTTTCAAATGTTGAAAAAACGCAGATCTACGTTTGGACAGTTTAAGGGTTAATATGTCCAAACCACCTCAACAAACCCTCTTCTGTCCTCTGAATAATATTTTCAGCAACTTCACAACTTTTCCTGATCAACAAGTTATAAACTCTCTGCATAATTTTCACACCATGCACTGCCTTCAAATATGACATCTCCAATATCTTCAGCCTCCTCCATCTCACTGCAACATTTAAATCCCATGCTTCACAACCATATAACAATTGGTACCATTATTTTTTTTTTTTTTAACAAGTCGGCCGTCTCCCACCGAGGCAGGGTGACCCAAAAAAGAAAGAAAATCCCCAAAAAGAAAATACTTTCATCATCTTTCAACACTTTCACCACACTCGCACATTATCACTGTTTTTGCAGAGGTGCTCAGAATACAACAGTTTAGAAGCATACATATATAAAGATACACAACATATCTCTCCAAACTGCCAATATCCCAAACCCCTTCTTTAAAGTGCAGGCATTGTACTTCCCATTTCCAGGACTCAAGTCCGACTATATGAAAATAAACGGTTTCCCTGAATCCCTTCACTAAATATTACCCTGCTCACACTCCAACAGATCGTCAGGTCCCAAGTACCATTCGTCTCCATTCACTCCTATCTAACATGCTCACGCACGCTTGCTGGAAGTCCAAGCCCCTTGCCCACAAAACCTCCTTTACCCCCTCTCTCCAACCCTTTCGAGGACGACCCCTACCCCGCCTTCCTTCCCCTATAGATTTATATGCTTTCCATGTCATTCTACTTTGATCCATTCTCTCTAAATGACCAAACCACCTCAACAACCCTCTTCTGCCCTCTGACTAATACTTTTATTAACTCCACACCTTCTCCTAATTTCCACACATCCGAATTTTCTGCATAATATTTACACCACACATTGCCCTTAAACAGGACATCTCCACTGCCTCCAACCATCTCCTCACTGCTGCATTTACACCCAAGCTTCACACCCATATAAGAGTGTTGGTACTACTATACTTTCAACATTCCTTCTTTGCCTCCATAGATAACGTTTTTTTGACTCCACATATACCTCAACGCACCACTCACCCTTTTTCCCCTCATCAATTCTATGATTAACCTCATCCTTCATAAATCCATCCGCTGACACGTCAACTCCCAAGTATCTGAAAACATTCACTTCTTCCATACTCCTCCTCCCCAATTTGATATCCAATTTTCTTTATCTAAATCATTTGACACTCTTCATACCTTACTCTTTTCTATGTTCACTTTCAACTTTCTACCTTTACACACTTTCCCAAACTCATCCACTAACCTTTGCAATTTTTCTTTAGAATCTCCCATAAGCACAGTATCATCAGCAAAAAGTAACTGTGTCAATTCCCCATTTTGAATTTGATTCCCCAAAATTTAATCCCACCCCTCTCCCGAACACCCTAGCATTTACTTCCTTTACAACCCCATCTATAAATATATTAAACAACCATGGTGACATTACCCCATCCCTTCTAAGATCTACTTTACCGGGAAGTAGTCTCCCTCTCTTCACACACCCTAACCTGAGCCTCACTATCCTCATAAAAACTCTTTACAGCATTAATAACTTACCACCTATTCCATATACCTTGCAACATCTGCCACATTGCTCCTCTATCCACTCTATCATATGCCTTTTCTAAATCCATAAATGCAATAAAAAAATTCCCTACCTTTATCTAAATACTGTTCACATATATGCTTCAATGTAAACACTTGATCTACACATCCCCTACCCACTCTGAAACCTCCTTGCTCATCTGCAATCCTACATTCTGTCTTACCTCTAATTCTTTCAATTATAACCCTACCGTACACTTTTCCTGGTATACTCAGTAAACTTATTCCTCTATAATTTTTACAGTCTCTTTTGTCCCCTTTCCCTTTATATAAAGGGACTATACATGCTCTCTGCCAATCCCTAGGTACCATTATACTCTGGTATATTTCCCTTTTTGGCTCTATGGATAAGGTTCTTTGTCTCCACAGATGCCTCCTTTATTGTCTCCCCTTTTTCGGTTAATGATATTATTGTTTATAATGGCACAATGATAGTTGGATCCTAAAATTTTGGAAAAAAATGTTACAAGCTGAAACTTCTGGCAATAAATATTCTCAATTATCAGCAAGACGAAATCTGATACATGTTGGCCATCACTAATCCGGCAATCAGTTATCCGGTTCCATCAGTAATCTGGCACTAATTTTGGCTAGCATAATTTCAAATTTCATCATTATACTGAATCAGAAATTGTGCAGATGGTTGTAAATCCACAGGAGAAAGCAGTGATGAAAATGAGGGAGATGAAGCAGAAAGTCTCCCTACTGACAGGCTAATTAAGTGTATTCTAACCTAACCACTCTGTAATCTGGCAAACTCACTAATCCAGCACACTACAGGTCCCAATGATGCCAGATTAGTGATGGCTGACCTGTACTGCATTATACTGCTTTGGTATGGCCCTCAATCCCATACACAAATACATTATTTGAAATGCTGTATAACTAGAATCATAGCTTTTTGCTTTTTACTATGCTAAGGCATAAAATTAAAAGAAAATGCACATACCTGTCTAATTTGTATTGTCATTTCTATTTCTTCTAGGTGTAACAAAACGGAAAGCTTTTCTTTGTGGTTGTCTGGTGTCAGAGGTTGTGAAAGTGAGGGAGCCACATCGAGAACATCAGCATTACTGGTTACAGCCTGCCAGAGCTGCTGAGGAACAAGTGCCATCGGTAGTGACACTGGCAAGAAGGATGATGTTTTGAAGGGCCTTTCACCTTTAATAATCTCTCTGTTGCTAGACTGGAACTGTGAAGAATTTCTGAAGTTTTGACGTGGTGTATAGGGAGTGACAGGCACCAAACACTTCATGTTATGGTCTTCAATGGCAGCACTCACATATCTCCCTATATGGAAGGTTCCAAAGTCAAAGATGCAAAGCTGCTTTATGATTCCAAGTAATTTGCCAGTACACTCGAAACGTATGTTAATACCCATGTCCCGATCTATGGTAACAGGAGTACCATCTATTAACCCCCCAGCTGAGCAGAAGACCACACTAAACACACACTCCTGTGTAGGAGTGACGAAATAAATCCGTTTTAAAGTCTTAGACTCTGTCCCAGTGTTTCTGATAAAAGCACCAATATAGGACTGGGATCCTAATACTACACTTGGAAACCTGAATAAAAAAAGAAAAATATTAATAATGTTAAAGATACTAAGGAAATATTTTTATTGCAATCAATACATCCTCCATCTTATTTTGGAATTTTCCCAAATTTTGAATAACTATTTTTAATTTGAAATGATCCCTGCAGGAAAGCTGGAAAAACAGTGGCAATTTGCTTTAATTAAATTTTCAGTTTGGTATACTACAACTAGAAAAAAAAAAACTTCGTGCATCTAGTACTGGCATACGTAGGTGACCACTGATCAATTTTACACAGACCTTCCTTAATTTTGGTTTCTGGGCAATAATTTGAGGAAGCCTCAGTGAATCAGCTTAAAAATTTCAACAGATTTGCGCATCCTACTTTACAGAATACTCTGACTTACTGCAGTGTGTAGGTGCCAATTTGCCATGTACATTTTTAAAATGGTGTGGTATTTTTTTCTGCACAATACCTAGAATATGTCTCTTATAAATAGCTTGAAGCCTTAATAACTAATACATCTTATGGGCAGTAAGACACCTTTTGGGTTTAGACTGTGTAGATGTAAATTTCTTAATTTACTAACATGTTTAATAAACTTGAAATTGATGAATTCTCTGTGACAAGTGAACCCTAATGGAAGTCACTTTTTCTTTTTAACAAACTGGCTATATCTCACCGAGGCAGGGTGACCTAAAAAAAAAAACTTGTTTTTCTCTTCAAATTTAGTAATTTATACAGAAGGGGTTCTAGCCCCTTGCTCCCAGCATTTCAGTCATACTTGTGTGTACCTATACTTAAATAAACTTACTATGTCTTCTGGATGACTTCAAATATTCAGCAGTGGTGTGATTTTTTCAAAGGGAAGTTCCTCGTGGATTTCTGGGTTAAGTTTAACTTGCGGTTTTATAAAACCAATTAGTTTCTGTGCAATAATTGGAAAAGAATCCTTCCTCCATAAGCCATGCGTGTCATAAGAGGCAACTAAAATACTAGGAGCAAGGGGCTAGTAACCCCTTTTTCCGTATAAATTACTAAGTGTAAAAAGAAAAACTTCCGCTTTTCTTTTTAGGTCACCCTGCCTCAGTGGGAGACAGCCAGTACGTAAAAAAAAAAAATGGAGCCTGCCTTTTCTGGTTGGCTTCAAACATAAAACACTACTTAACTTCCTTACACTAAACATTGACAAAACCTACTTCATTCAGTTTGGTAACAGAGCTACAGATGTCCCTCTTAACATAAGGATAAACGGATCACCTATCACAAAGCTAACAGAGGGAAAATTCTTAGGAATCCACCTTGATAATAGACTCAAATTTCATACCTGGAGTTTACCTGGAGAGAGTTTCGGGGGTCAATGCCCCCGCGGCCCGGTCTGTGACCAGGCCTCCTGGTGGATCAGCGCCTGATCAACCAGGCTGTTGCTGCTGGCTGCACGCAAACCAACGTACGAGCCACAGCCCGGCTGATCAGGAACTGACTTTAGGTGCTTGTCCAGTGCCAGCTTGAAGACTGCCAGGGGTCTGTTGGTAATCCCCCTTATGTGTGCTGGGAGGCAGTTGAACAGTCTCGGGCCCCTGACACTTATTGTATGGTCTCTTAACGTGCTAGTGACACCCCTGCTTTTCATTGGGGGGATGGTGCATCGTCTGCCAAGTCTTTTGCTTTCGTAGTGAGTGATTTTCGTGTGCAAGTTCCGGTACTAGTCCCTCTAGGATTTTCCAGGTGTATATAATCATGTATCTCTCCCTCCTGCGTTCCAGGGAATACAGGTTTAGAAACCTCAAGCGCTCCCAGTAATTGAGGTGTTTTATCTCCGTTATGCGCGCCGTGAAAGTTCTCTGTACATTTTCTAGGTCGGCAATTTCACCTGCCTTGAAAGGTGCTGTTAGAGTGCAGCAATATTCCAGCCTAGATAGAACAAGTGACCTGAAGAGTGTCATCATGGGCTTGGCCTCCCTAGTTTTGAAGGTTCTCATTATCCATCCTGTCATTTTTCTAGCAGATGCGATTGATACAATGTTATGGTCCTTGAAGGTGAGATCCTCCGACATAATCACTCCCAGGTCTTTGACGTTGGTGTTTCGCTCTATTTTGTGGCCAGAATTTGTTTTGTACTCTGATGAAGATTTAATTTCCTCATGTTTACCATATCTGAGTAATTGAAATTTCTCATCGTTGAACTTCATATTGTTTTCTGCAGCCCACTGAAAGATTTGGTTGATGTCCGCCTGGAGCCTTGCAGTGTCTGCAATGGAAGACACTGTCATGCAGATTCGGGTGTCATCTGCAAAGGAAGACACGGTGCTGTGGCTGACATCCTTGTCTATGTCGGATATGAGGATGAGGAACAAGATGGGAGCTAGTACTGTGCCTTGTGGAACAGAGCTTTTCACCGTAGCTGCCTCGGACTTTACTCTGTTGACGACTACTCTCTGTGTTCTGTTAGTGAGGAAATTATAGATCCATCGACCGACTTTTCCTGTTATTCCTTTAGCGCGCATTTTGTGCGCTATTACGCCATGGTCACACTTGTCGAAGGCTTTTGCAAAGTCTGTATATATTACATCTGCATTCTTTTTGTCTTCTAGTGCATTTAGGACCTTGTCGTAGTGATCCAGTAGTTGAGACAGACAGGAGCGACCTGTTCTAAACCCATGTTGCCCTGGGTTGTGTAACTGATGGGTTTCTAGATGGGTGGTGATCTTGCTTCTTAGGACCCTTTCAAAGATTTTTATGATATGGGATGTTAGTGCTATTGGTCTGTAGTTCTTTGCTGTTGCTTTACTGCCCCCTTTGTGGAGTGGGGCTATGTCTGTTGTTTTTAGTAACTGAGGGACACATATACAGCAAATTTCTAAGAAAATTTCCAAGACTGTAGGCATACTATCGAAGATACGGTACTATGCTCCACAGTCAGCCCTCCTGGCCCTTTATCACTCTCTTATTTACCCCTATCTCACCTATGGAATTTGTGCATGGGGCTCAACAACAATTAACCATCTCAGACCATTAATTACCCAACAAAAGGCTGCAGTCAGAATGATAACAAATTCCCACTACAGGCAGCACACTCCACCAATATTCAAAACACTAAACCTACTCACCATACAAAACATCCATACTTATTACTGCACCTATTACATACATAGAACACTTAACTCTGATATTAACCCTCCCCTCAAACATCTCCTTACCAACCTCAACAGAACACATGACCATAACACAAGGCACAGATCACTCTTTGATGTTCCTCGTGTCCATCTCACGCTATGCAAAAACTCAATGCACATAAAAGGCCCTAAAATCTGGAATTCATTACCTGTAAATATAAAAGAAACACTACCTGTTTATAAATTCAACTCTCTTCTCAAAGATCACTTACTCACCCAAAACCAAATAAATACTGAATAACTGAACCTTATAAATTGTATATCTTAAATGTTTCTCATAATTATATCACATAAATGTTAAACCTAAGACCCAATCTAACTTTGTTATTTTTTTAAATACACTACCTAACAGAATACTCCATACGACTGAATGTACAGCAATGCATGCAACCATATGACCTATCTTTGTAATACTCATTTGTGCTATATTGTTATCTGTTTACAATAATGTTTTATCACTGATTACATCATTGCTTAGTTAATCTTAAGTTAATTTTAAGCCTGCCCGTAATGCTATGCATACAAGTGGCTTTGGCATACTGCTCTTACCTGTATTTTTTTGTACCTCTGTATGTTCAAATTATTAAATAAATAAATAAATAAATAAATAAAGTTGTGGATCGAGTTTGGCTTGCGTAGTGCTAATTTGTCAATTTTATTGAAGGAATTATAAAAAATTTAAATTGAGAATCATGAAAATTGAAATACCAAAGTTATGAAAATTACAGATTTTGAAGAATTCATACATTTTATAACAAGATCATTTTATGCCAAATTTCAGTTCTAAAACTATTGCTCCAACCAGAATAGAATTTTATACAGCCTCTTCTCTCTTAGCGACATACTCGTTTATCGACGCCTCGGACTTATGATGGGTTCTCTGACCAGTAATCATACCTAAATAATGTATATTAGAGCTGATTTCCTCTATTCTGTTTATTTCAATATACAGTACACTACTGTATAAACATTTAAAAATATACCAGAAATGTTATAAATGGTGCAAAGGTGACATTAAAATATCGAGGATGGCTGACACAAACTCACTACCATTATAGTATGCTCCTCACTTAGTGATGAATTCGTTTAACGACGTGGTTTCAGGAAAGGAACTCCGTCGTTAAGTGAGGAGAGGCTGTACTGAAAATAACCCAAATCCACCAATACACCTAGTATCATCTGCATATTAAGAGGCTTTCTGCATGCACACTTAAATGTCATTCACCCTGGTATAAACATTGTATCATGCTGAAATGAAGAATCTTTAATCTTTAAGAAAGTGAAAAATAAGGGCTCTTACCTAAGTGACTGAGTAATAACAATATTTTCTTTATTGTCTAAAATATTTATGGTTTTGTTCTCTCCTCCAGACATTGTATGCTTGGGGAAGTCCAGCAAGTGTCTTGCAATCATGCAACTTTTCAGTTCCTGCAATAAAGAACATAGTTTACAAACCAGATTACAGTGACTGAACATGTGTACTTTTTCAAGGCATGCATCTGTCCTGAGTGTGAAACATATAAAATTAAAGAGCATATTGAATCAACTACATCATGGTAATCAAGAGAGATGCCCAAATCACCTACTGTAGAGTATCTAAAGACAAATGGTTTTTGGGGCCTGACAAACTGTTGGAGTGCCCGTAATGCTATGCATATAAGTGGCTTTGGCATGCTGCTCTTACCTGTATTTTTTTGTACCTCTGTATGTGTGCTAAATTTCTAAATAAATAAATAAATAAATAAGGTAATATTTTGCGAAGAGGTTCAGGCAAACCAGTTAGCTGGACTTGAGCCCTGGAGGTAGGAAGTACATGTACAGTGTTTGCACTCTGAAGGAGGGGTGGGGATATTTGTTAACTGGAGGGACATCTGAACTGTTGTATTGACATGCCTCTGGCAAGAAAGTGATAGTGTGAATGATGGTTAAAGTTTTCCTTTTTCAGGTCACCCTGCCTAGGTGGGAGATGGCCGGCATGTTAAAAGAAATTAAAAGATAGAGATGGGGGAAGATATATTAGAATATCCCTAAATAACTTGTAAAGACTAACCTGGGTGCTAAGCAGACATCATGTCAGTGTTCACTTCAAGAGCTCGCCAACAAAAATTACGCTGATGACTTTCAACTGCTTCAACCATCACCAAGTCACCTACTTTCAATGCTGCACTCTCAGCTACTGCACGAGTGCAGTATATCTAATAAAAGGAAGGCCAATATATTTTATAGTAAACATGAATATCAAAAAATGTTTCATAATCACATCTCTCAAATATAACAATTACAACATATTTAAAGACATTTATCTCATAGTTATGCCTGTGATATTTTTATAAAGAAATATCTGAAGTTTGATGAGATGATATTATGATTATAATCATGGGAAAGCTCTAAACCTGTAGGATTATACAGCGTCTGTGGGGGGGGAGGAGATGGAAGGCATTCAGGCTCAATTCAGGGAACTGGAGCACCGATCCAATTCCCTAGATCAAGAGCCCCTCACCAGCATCAAGAAACCTCCCTTGAGGGGTTTGATGAGATAGTATTGTATTCACAGGAATTCAGAGAAGCTGGCTAGCCAGACTTGAGCCCTGGAGGTGGGAAGTACAATGGAACCTTGGTACTTGAAGTTAATTCACTGTAGAAAGCTGTTTGAGTGCTGATCTGTTTGAGTACTGAACGAATTTTTCCCAATCAATTTTCTTTTTTGTTGGCTGTTATCACTTACCTTCTTAGGCCCCATGGTGGTTAATTTAGATATAAAAAACAAAAAAAAAATGTGAAGAAACATAAAACAGTTTACAGCAAAGTTCTGGCAGGTCGTATCTGTTTGGTTGAGTGCCAAGCAAACAATCAACTACCGAGTGTTTTTTTTTTTTTTACCGAACAAAGGGTTTGAATACCGAATTGTTTGAGTAGGGAGCTGTTCGAGTACCGAGGTTCTACTGTACAGTGTCTTCACTCTGAAGGAGGGGGTGGGGATATTTGCAGTTCTGAACTGAAAAGCCCTAAACCTGCATGGATCACTTAGAACTGAATATCTACAGAGGATTCTGCAAGGTGGCTACTCTCCAATAGGGTCATTCACACACAACCCACAAAATGAAATTGAAACCTAAGAAATTTCTGTGCATCCTGAATCATCAATTTTGTGAAGTCAAAAGATTATACATGTTTCACTTCCAATTTGTGAGTTAGTTATTAACTGTTCCAACAACAGTAATGTGACTTTTACTTTCTAGGTACAAGGCATCAGTTAGATGTAGTAAAGTACCGACAAACAACAATGCAGCAACAGCACAATGAAATCTTTCAGTTTTGAGAATATCACTTTCATACATTTACTTTGCAATATAAATACGTAAATTGACTATGAAGCAAATGTATGAATATAGTGGCAAAAACATTCACATTGGCATAATGCAGGAATGCAATACAATCCATCCTGGGTGCTTATGAACTGTCAGGGTTGTTATATTTGAAGAGAAGCATTAAACTTACTGGAATCAGAGTACCTGGGGAATGGGAAGCAATCAAGCTTGATCCAAGGAGGGATGGATAGCCTTGATGTCTTGGATCGAGAGCCCTTCACCATACTAAAGCTTTTTAACCATTTATTGGAAAGTAAGAGCTCAAGATTTTGCAATACTCCCCTTGCTGTTATGTAAATAATTTTGAAAACACAAATTTAAGAATATTGAGGAAACGTTCACCAGCCAGTGGCTTCTTCAGTCCAATACAGAGAAGAACAGTGGAAGATGAAGAGGAGTTTGAGGTAATCAGTTCCTCAGTCTGGAGTTGACATGTTCAGTCCATACTGAACACACATCTTGAGATTAATGGATTGAACACATCCTCCAGACTGAGGGGACTGATTACCTCAAACTCCTCTTCATCTTCCACCATTCCTCTCTCTATTGGACTGAAGAAGCCACTGGCTGGCAAAACTTTTCCACAATAAAGATTCCAAATGTTGCACAAGTGTCTTATTCTTCAACTCCCCTTACTGCCAGATGTAAGACACCTGTTTATCTGAATTTTGTTACTGTCAGGTAATTATAAATGAATATAGACACACACAAGACTAAACAATCTTGCCTAACCTAAGCAAGACTAAAATTTATTAAAATTTCTAAAAACTTTCAAGTGCACTGACATTTACACCCTAAATTTTTGAACAGGCTGCTTGAATGTGCACTGCCATAAGCCTTTAATAACCTAATATGGAATCCTTCAGCTTGTTTTCTATTAACAAGTCAAGCTATTAAGCTTGCAGATAACTCACCAGTCATTTCATATGCTAATCATACTCATGGCTCTCATGAGAGCCATGGCTCACTGATGAATAATGCTGGAATTAAGGCACATGAATAAAAAATTTCATCTTATTGATACCTCTAGAGGGTATACTGTAATAAGTTTAAAATTTTAATTATTACATTCATTTGGAAGCATTAAATTCAGTGGCACAGCCAGGTTTATAATCTGAGGAGCTTGATAATCATGACAGTGACAGTATGAACGATGGTGTTTCTTTTTCGGGCCACCCTGCATCAGTGGGAGATGGCCAGCGTGTTAAAAAAAAAATGTGAAAGTTCTTAAATTACTGTGCTTTCTTGGTCACTTGTCAATACCATGAAAATTGGCCATTAATTGAAAAAATAAAAAATACAAAGTACAGTATTTGCATCCTGGGAGTTTTAGAACCTATAGGAGTTACAATGTGTAGGGAATGGTAAATAATCAGGTTTTATCCAAAGGGAGGATAGCTCTAATTCCATGGATCAAGAGTCCTTCACTGGTGTCAGGGCACATCTTTGAGGTTAACATCACCTGTTATATCATAATCCTAGAAAAGCTCACAAGAGCTTCAATACTTTGCCCTTCCTTCATAATTTTTTGAGAGAAGTGCAAAACTCGTAGGGATCATATGGTGCCAGGGAATGAGGGGTAATCAAGTTCAATCCAAGGAAGAGGAAGATGAGTCCAGTTCAGAGCCTGCTGGAATGATGGCACCTCCCTGGAAGGGCCAGCACTTTGAAGGATCTCCAAACAGGAGCTTCTGAGAAACTGGCACTTAAACTAATTTTATGTAGTTAAATTTACCTTTTCAAAATGCATACTCGTAAAACTTGTACAGAAGCCTATTTTCAGGAAACTGACATATTTATTGGAGTTCAAGACCCCTAATATATAAAGTCTATTTCTTCAGCAAACAGAGGATCAAGCCTCCACAGTGTCTTTGCTGCATAACTCACATGGATTTATTGCTTAATGTGAATTAAACAAACATTCAGATTGTTCTTGCTCTCAGATTGTAATTTTTACTTTCAGTAGTTTACAATAAAGTACATGTACATAACTTGAACTTTTACCTACTTTCTTTAAAGTTCAATAAATCTCTTTAAAATAGTTTCCCAGTTTGTTATAATGGCTACCCATTATATAAGCCAAAAATTTGATTTTTTCCAGGGAATGAAAACACCATCCATTACATGTTTTGTTTGCAATCGTGTTTTTACGATTTTGAGAGTAATGAAAACTCTTATTTGAGTACCCTGACAATGCTATTTTTTGGGGGGAAATTATTCCTTGAAAATTATCCCTCAGATTTTTCACAGCTGTTCATACATGAACGACTAAATTCAAAATGTTTATGACTTCCCTTGATCTGAACTTTCACTACTCTAATACATTCAGTACTAAGCAGAGGCAAAAAGCTGACAGGTAGATGACAGACATGTGACACAGATGAGACTATTTTACTGATGACGAGCTTTTACAAGTTATGACTTTAAAAAGCTCTGAGTAAAACATTATAATAAAGAATTAAGCCATTTCATGTGTCAATCGTCAGTACTTGGTACTTCCATTTATTTATTTATTTATTTATTTGAACATGATACATAGAAGTACAAGAAACACAGTGGTTAAGTGTAACATGCCAAAGCCCCTTGTAAAGTACTGTACTACACAAATAACCTGCAAACAGGAGAATAAATCTTACAACATTTCAGTCCAATGTAGACCATTAATGGTCCAAGTCGGACTGAAACATCATAAATATCATTCTCCTAAGTGCAGGTTATTTGTGTGTTGTTCAAGTCACAGTATTGTGTCTTTTTATTCTTTATAAAGTGCTGTATGGGAGAACTGGAAGATCTAATGACTAGTTTTACCTCTTGATTAATGACGCAGAATGTTGTGAAGCAGTGAGTGACCTCCCCTCTCACTCTCTTTTTCCTCAGTGGTTTGCATGCCAGCACTTGGATACAGCCTTCTGGCTCAGCTTCTTCACAGTCTTGTACAGAAGAGGTGCTACCAACATCACAGATAATCCAATCCCCTACAGATAGTATACAAAATATTTAAAAGCTAAAAATGAGAATTTTGGAAAATGTTGATCCGATTTTTCTTTCTATTGCTGAACAAGATCTCATAATGCAGAACAACCACTGTGAAAAGAATAGTGAACTTCAAAGTGATTTTGTGATCTCACATTATCAAGGAACAGCTCCTTGATAATGTGGGAAATCACAAAGCGCTTGGAAGTTCACTATTCTTTTCACAGCGGTTGTTCTGCATATTGTTATATCACCTGATTACTGTGATCTTATTGAAAGATCTAATAATTTTCATTACCCGATATTATAGTCATGGAGAAGTGATAAACTCATATTTGTCATACAGATCATGGAAAATGGGAAGTAATGAAGTTTGATGTGAGGAATGGGAAAGTAGTTGCAATTCCTTTGATCAAAAACCCTTCACCAGCTCTTCACCCCACTGAAGGTGGTGGAAGAGAGACTGGTATAGGTGGTGGTGGAAGAGGTGGCTGGTGGTGCTGAAGGTGGTGGAAGAGGTGGTCAGCAGTGCTAAAGGTGGTGGAAGAGGCAGTTGGTGGTGAAGGTGGTGGTGGAAGGGGCAATTGGTGGTGTAGGTGGTGGTGGAAGAGGCAGTCGGTGGTGTAGGTGGTGGTGGAAGGAACAGCCGGTGGTGTAGGTGGTGGTGATGGAATGGGCGGTTGGTGGTGTTGAAGGTGGTGGAAGATGCAGTCAGTAGTGTAGGTGGTGGTGGTGGTGGAAGGGACAGTCAGTGGTGTAGGTGGTGGTGGTGGAAGGGACAGTCAGTGGTGTAGGTGGTGGAAGGGACAGTCGGTGGTGTAGGTGGTGGTGGAAGAGGTGGTTGGTGTAGGTGGTGATGGATGGGGCAGTTGGTTGTGTTGAAGAGAGTGGAAGAGGTGGTCAGTGGTGGTGGTGGAAGGGGCAGTTGGTGGTGTAGGTGGTGGTGGATGGGACAGTTGGTTGTGTTGGATGGAGTGGAAGAGGTGGTCGGTAGTGGCGGTGGAAGAAGCGGTTGGTGGTGTAGGTGATGGAAGGTTCGGTTGGTGGTGTTGAAGGTGGTGGAAGAAGCAGTTGGTGTAGGTGGAGGTGGAAGGGGCAGTAGATGGTGTTGTGGGAATGACAACTACTGAAGTAATAAGTGACCTCAAAAGACCCTGAAACGACCCTTTTTATCAGTACAATATAATTTTTGAAAGCACGAATCTTTTTTTTTTCTCCTTTTTTCCCTCCTGCTGATCTGCCTTGCCTGGCTACATTTAAAATGAGTTTTACATAACCTTTTGAGAAAATCTCTTTACTCTCAGCACAAGATCAGTCATCAATATTCCCAGCTGCCTCTACTTCTTGCTCACTCTACTGTGCATTTAAGGTAAGAATTTTTACCTTTAAATGAATCACTATTTGTATTACCACTGCTATCACTAAAATTTTTGAACAGCAGCTAAAGTTTTTTGTAATACATTGAGGCAGCTGACTGATGACTACAATAACTAGGTACCCCAAAAATACAAAATTTCAGTCTAATAAAGATGCAATAGGGTCAATACTGAAGGTATACTAAAGATGCTATAGCATCAATACTGAAGGTATACTAAAGATGCTATAGCATCAATACTGAAGGTATACTAAAGATGCTATAGCATCAATACTGAAGGTATACTAAAGATGCTATAGCATCAATACTGAAGGTATACTGAAGATGCTATAGCATCAATACTGAAGGTATACTGAAGATGCTATAGCATCAATACTGAAGGTATACTAAAGATGCTATAACATTAATACTGAAGGTATACTAAAGATGCTATAACATTAATACTGAAGGTATACTAAAGATGCTATAACATCAATACTGAAGGTATACTAAAGATGCTATAACATTAATACTGAAGGTATACTAAAGATGCTACAGGTCAACACTCAGGTATTGGCGGTAAGGAGAAAAAGACTGAATAGCTTGCAATGAACTGTGAAAATCAGAAATAACAAGAAACAAGGTAGACAAGATAGTAATATGGATGACAACTGCAAAAATATTTACATGCTGTGACAGGCAAATTTAATAAGATTGAGAAAGACAGTGGCATACCCAGCCTACAGAGGATGCCTAGCCATCTGTGTACACAGCAAGCATATTTAGGGACAAACCCATGTGGCACTGGCTCAGGGCACCTAAGTTTAGGGGATGCCAAAAATCAACATCCACAGAAATGACAGAATATCCCTATCAATCAATAAGAAAGAAGTGAACACTTTAAAAATGAATTACACATTGTACATAAAACACTTTGGGTGCAAAACTGTTTTGACAGTAGTTATTCTCTGACAAATTTTGCAATTCATGAGCTCAACCAATCTAACATCACTGCCAAATCATTTTGTTGCACTGATAATTACTTTAACATTCCCAACACACACATCAGTTGCCAACGCACAACGGAGCTTTCAAAAATGCAATTACTCAAAACTTATCTATATTCCACGATGGAATAAGATCAAGAATTTAGAGTTGGATGAAATAATCCAAAGATCTGCAGCAACTAAGGCCTAAAATTTATCAGTGATGAATAAATTTTAACAAATATGTATGTTAGTGCTATACATTTTTACTGAATTTAAATTTATATTTTTATTAAATAAAATGAACAGAATGAAAAAAACATAAAAATTATAAAAATCTTTTTTCAACAAAAAAGCTGTATCCCACCGAGGCAGGGTGGCCCAAAAAGAAAAACTAAAATTTCTCTTCATAACTTTAGTAATGTATACAGGAAAAGGGGTTACCAGCCCTTGCTCTTGGCATTTTAGTTGCCTCTTATGGCATGCATGGCTTATGGAGGAAGAATTCTGTTCCACTTCCCCATGGAGAAATTTTTTTTTTTTTTTTTCAACAAGTTGGCCGTCTCCCACCGAGGCAGGGTGACCCAAAAAAGAAAGAAAAATCCCCAAAAAGAAAATGCTTTCATCATCATTCAACACTTTCACCACACTCACACATAATCACTGTTTTTGCAGAGGTGCTCAGAATACAACAGTTTAGAAGCACATACGTATAAAGATACACATATCCCTCCAAACTGCCAATATCCCAAACCCCTCCTTTAAAGTGCAGGCATTGTACTTCCCATTTCCAGGACTCAAGTCTGACTATATGAAAATAACTGGTTTCCCTGAATCCCTTCACTAAATATTACTCTGCTCACACTCCAACAGATCGTCAGGTCCCAAGTACCATTCGTCTCCATTCATTCCTATCTAACACGCTCACGCACGCTTGCTGGAAGTCCAAGCCCCTTGCCCATAAAACCTCCTTTACCCCCTCTCTCCAACCCTTTCGAGGACTACCCCTACCTCGCCTTCCTTCCCCTATAGATTTATATGCTTTCCATGTCATTCTACTTTGATCCATTCTCTCTAAATGACCAAACCACCTCAACAACCCCAATTCTGCCCTCTGACTAATACTTTTATTAACTCCACACCTTTTCCTAATTTCCACACTCTGAATTTTCTGCATAATATTTACACCACACATTGCCCTTAGACAGGACATCTCCACTGCCTCCAACCATCTCCTCGCTGCTGCATTTACCACCCAAGCTTCACACCCATATAAGAGTGTTGGTACTACTATACTTTCATACATTCCCTTCTTTGCCTCCATAGATAACATTTTTTGACTCCACATATACCTCAATGCACCACTCACCTTTTTCCCCTCATCAATTCTATGATTAACCTCATCCTTCATAAATCCATCCGCCAACACGTCAACTCCCAAGTATCTGAAAACATTTACTTCTTCCATACTCCTCCTCCCCAATTTGATATCTATATAAAATATGGGATGGGGCAGGCACCAAAACAACTGGCTCAGTGCGTCACTACCCTTTGAGCCGGCCTTGACCAGATAGTTGTACGTACATTTCTACAACTGTTGTAGGATCTACAATTTGCTACAGATGTAAAATATATACTTAGCATTTTTTTTTCTGATGAAAGGCAAACTTTATCCAACTACATATTACAAAGATCACACTTCATTCATCTGTATTCAACATACCTGGAAATTCTATTTTAATGAATAGGTCAGTGGCTTCTACTGATTGCCAGGTAACTGCAATACAGGTACTCCTCACTTAACAATCTACCTGTTTAACGACTGCTCGGACCAGTGTACTATGGTGTATTTTACTTTGTTTTTTAATGCCTAGCTCTATTTTTAATATACTAAAAATTTTATAAATAGTGTAAAGGTGACATTAAAACAATATATAAGGATAGTTGACACATACCCACTACCAGTACAGTATGCTAGAAATATCAGTAAGGGGCAGCTCCTCACTTACTGACCTACTCTTAGGAACAGAACTCAGTCGTTAAGTGAGGAATACCTGTATTTAACCCGTAAATGGTCCAAACGTATATATACGTTTTTTCAACATTTGAAAGTGTATGTAAAAAAAAGTAGATCTTCTTTTTGTTTTTTACATTTGAAAATGTGTAAAAAAACTTTGATCTACTTTTTTTTTTGTTATATTTGAAAATATGTAAAAAAAACTTAGATCTACTTTTGTAGCACTACACATGTGAACATAGATCTGCTTGGACTGTTTACGGGTTAAAAAAAAATATTGAGGGAAAAAAAAAAGATACTTGACACACTACAAGTTTCCTGTTCAAATAAAGCCACTGGAGATGGTGGCAAGCAGATATAAGGTAGAAAGTTGAAAGTGAACATAGAAAAGGGTAAGGTGATGAGAGTATTAAATGATTTAGATAAAGAAAAATTGGATATCAAATTGGGGAGGAGGAGTATGGAAGAAGTGAATGTTTTCAGATATTTGGGAGTTGACGTGTCAGCGGATGGATTTATGAAGGATGAGGTTAATCATAGAATTGATGGAGGAAAAAAGGTGAGTGGTGCGTTGAGGTATATGTGGAGGCAAAAAATGTTATCTATAGAGGCAAAGAAGGGAATGTATGAAAGTATAGTAGTACCAACACTCTTATATGGGTGTGAAGCTTGGGTGGTAAATGCAACAGCGAGGAGATGGTTGAAGGCGGTGGAGATGTCCTGTCTAAGGGCAATGTGTGGTGTAAATATTATGCAGAAAATTCAGAGTGTGGAAATTAGACAGTGTGGAGTTAATTAAAGTATTAGTCAGAGGGCTGAAGAGTGGTTGTTGAGGTGGTTTGGTCATTTAGAGAGAATGGATCAAAGTAGAATAACATGGAGAGCATATAAATCTGAAGGGAAAGGAAGGCAGGGTAGGGGTCGTCCTCGAAAAGGTTGGAGGGAGGGGGTAAAGGTGGTGTTGTGGGCGAGGGGTTTGGACTTCCAGCAAGCATGCGTGAGCATGTTAGATAGGAGTGAATGGAGACAAATGGTATTTGGGACCTGTTGAGCTGTTGGAGTGTGAGCAGGGTAATATTTAGTGAAGGGATTCAGGGAAACCGGTTATTTTATATAACCGGACTTGAGTCCTGGAGATGGGAAGTACAATGCCTGCACTCTAAAGGAGGGATTTGAGATACTGGCAGTTTGGAGGGATATATTGTGTATTTTTATATGCATATACTTCTAAACTGTTGTATTCTGAGCACCTCTGCAAAAACAGTGATTATGTGTGAGTGAGGTGAAAGTGTTGAATGATGATGAAAGTATTTTCTTCTCAGGGATTTCTTTCTTTTTGGGTCACCCTGCCTCGGTGGGAGACAGCCAACTTGTTGAAAAAGAAAAAAGAAAATCTAAACTGCTGTATCTGTGCAACTTGGGCAGGACAGTGGTAGTGTGAACAATGGTGAAAGTGTTTCTTTTCTGGGTCACATTACCTTGATGGGAGATGGACCTTCTAAAGAAACTTTTCTTTATAAATAATATTTGCTTAAAAATAATATCCAGTTTGTCATTCATATTTTTAGTCTGCATTTTAACTGAAACTGCTATTATATATTGAAATATATGTCTTTTACAATAAAAATAAACTAGTGATATCCCAAAATACCGTCTATTGAAGAAACCAAACCACTGATGTACAGAATCTTGCAATATATGGCTTTTGATGCAGGCAATACGTCACTTCAACTTAATGTCCAATGAGAATTTTAATAGTACAGTGATACCTCACATATCTGGCTTGCCATTATCTGAACCTCGCCAATATTCAAACAGGCCCTGGGAAAGGGCAAAATTCTAAAATTATTACCAAAACATCCGAACAACCATTTGGATACGGAAGAAGGCTGAATCAAACTTGGCGCACGCTTTAGCATACCAGTTGGCCACTAGGAGCCGTGTTCTTCACCACCCCCACCACCTACTGTTCTCAGTCCCGCTACTGTCTCCTAACCAAATAGGTGAGCATAAAGGTGGTGCAGTCCGGGAGTGATTTCGTGGCTTCTGTGGGGGTTCCACTTCTCCTTTTAGCATTATTACAGATGTGTTTTGTCCTAGCTTTCTTGTGTATAGTACCAAAGAGGGCCAGGAATGTACTTACTCTAGAATAAAAAAAAAGAGGGAAATATTGTCGAACGTGGATGCAGGTTGGTCCAAAGCTGGGGAAAAAACTACAGAAGATGACGTGCAGGACTGGCTGATGTGTGACCAAGACGACCCTGGTGTGCAATCTCTGATGGATGCAGAGATCGCAGAATCAGTGTTGCACCTGGAACATTCCGAAACTGACGACGAAGATAACCCAATGCCTCCAAGACCAAAAACTTCAGCAGCAAGGGCAGGTGTCAAAACTCTTGGAACATCCACTGTCCACAGCCCATTTGAAAAGTTATGGTCCTGTGGTCCGTGAAATCTGGGAGGCTGTTATTCGAGCCCAGAGTGTCTGGTCCCACCACCAGACGACATTGGACTCGTTTTTTAAACCTACAATGCTGTCGCCAATGGTGATATAATGGGGTACAGATGGCGATATGATAGTACGGATGCACATTTTTCCCCTTCACATATCCGGAAACTTGGTGTTTCCGAACCGGTTTCGGCCCATATAGTTCAGATATGAGAGGTATCACTATAATTCTTTATTTCTTACTAGCTTCCTTTGTGGAAATATCAACTCCATGATACCCAGAGCATTTTTTTTTAATTCTACAGAATGACTATTTCCTTTACATTAACAACAGCATTATCACAGGCATCTAAACTACCACAATAATTTGAAATAACCTTCCCTCTGTATGCACTTTTGTGAGGCCCTCAATGAAATCTATTAACCCTTAAACTGTCCAAACATAGATCTATATTTGCTCGCGTAGTACTCCGAATGTAGATCTACGTTTTTTTTACATTGCTTCTTATGGAGAAAATCAAGGTTGGAGCGCTACACGCACAAACGTAGATCTACATTTGGACAGTTTAAGGGTTAATCAGAGTACTTTGACTCTGAGGCATATATCTCACTTAAAATATTTTTGTGCACTCCTATTACACACTAATTTAAAAACTGCTCAAAAGTAACTTAAACTTTCATTTATACCCACCAGAAAAATGTCTGTTTCCAGTAACATTATCAAATTTAGAATAAATGGCACTGATATTTCTTAATGATTATCCTAACTTTTTACAGTATATTAATCTGTGACTTCAGTAAGGGATTCAAAAATTTTTTAGTTTTCATCACTCAATTTTTCATTATTACACCAATGGTTATTACATAAAACAAATGGACCCCTTAAATCACAGAAAACAAAATACACGAACATGAAACCTGAGTAGACACTTTTGGTCTATCATGAATCATTTTAAAGTTAAAACTGAGCGAGACGAGCAAAGAATACCAGAAGGCAGGTAAGGAAGGAGAGGGTAAAGATGGTATTAATAGTAGTGGAAAGAGGCAGTAGTAGTCCTACTTAGTTGTAACTTGACAATGGTTCAGGGTAGACAATCATCATCTCAAGCTTTCTAAATATGGGTTACTTGTCAATTCTTCCAGTCAGAGTATTGTGGTTTATTCTTCCTAGACTCATTAATATTTTTTTTAGCCATTACTGAAAGTATGCTGCTAAACTTAATTTAAAAGCAGTGTAAAATTAACTGGATACAGAGAGTTATTCTTAGCTTAATACAAAACATACTCAGTGTATACCTTCCACTATATCCCAGGTACAGTTTGTTGCAGAAATATTAAAGCTGGTGTCATTATTTAGGGTAACAGTGGCAGCACATATACCTGTGACTTTGCCTATAAGTTTTTGCTGCCCATGGTGGCTTATCTTGTGTGAATGAAGAACATCCTGTTTCAGTACACCTGTTATTCCTTGCTCCAGGTATCTGCATGGAATATTTCCAGATGAATTTAGTGATGTACTTTTGCTTTTCCCATTGTTTTGACTTTTAACCTTCACGTAATTTTTATGAGACTCTAGTTTCATGTCACCGTCAGCGTCCCACCTTTCCTGTAGCAGCTGTACCTCCACTGCTCGCCAAGCCTCATGCTTCGTCGCCCTATTTGCTACACCACTCACATATTTGTTAATGCAGACTTTTTCACTCGGTGGAAATTTTGAAGTATCGCAGTATATGTCATTGTTAATAACAACACATTGAATTAGTCACAGAAGTTATTACACCTTCAAAGGTACATGTCTCAAGAGTGGAATGAGAAACAGACACAAAGTCTTCAAGCCTAGGTCTGTCTGCTCCATTCCACTCAGTGTTAGTGTCATCAGCACCAACAAAGTAGCCAACAGCTTTCTGTACCAGCGTGATCATACTGCAATTTGTGACTCATAAAAACCACTGATAATTATATTTCCAAGGATAACAATTTCCTTAAACATTCCATAAATACACTTTCTAGTTCCACAAATTTACCAAATGCTGCTGAATGTAAAATATTCAATGATTTTAGGCCAACTTAGGCAGTGAAGTTCAAAACAAGTTTCTGAAGTACACAAAGTCACTTGTCATATACAAAATTTTGGCAATCACTAATATCAAGTATACTTATACTTTACTTGCAAAAAACAACAGCACATTTAATGTATATTCACATTATCACTGCTTTCCAGAATTTTATTTTAAGACATATTGCAAATTAAGAAAAAAAAAAAGCACTACCGATCAATTTTTTTTAATTTCAGAGTATTAAAATAATATTCTTAATATCACTGCTGTCCAATGTATTTCTCAACAGGAGAATATTTCCAATTGGTATCTGCTATGTACTCCAGCTGTTTACGGAGGTCCCTTGTACGCTTCTCATGCTCTTCTTTCTTGAGAGATGACAATGATGATTCTACATTGTGGTCAAACCAAAGCTTGGCCATAACAGTTGACATGTGATCCGGACTCTGAAAGGAAGAACATTAATTACTGAAAAATGGTATGGCAATACCGATAAGATGTGGAAAAAGATACTTATGTACAGTTCAGGACATTTATTAAAGGAAATGTTTCCTCTAATAAATGTCCTGAACTGTACACAAGTGTCGCTTTCCAAACCATTAATTATCAGTCCCATCCCTTCAATATATGAACCATCTAAATGTATATCTAAATGTTCATTTGTCTGAATGCATATTTTTAGTTACTTTAGCATAAAACACTTATGAACGAAAATTAAAAGGGAAATAAACCACGGTACAGGTGAGGTTAGAATCCACAGCAAGCAAGTTTTAAAATTCCAGTCCAGTGTGTAAGCCAGGAGTTTTAACTCACTTGCCATGGGTTCTAACCCCATCCATACTGCGACAGTTTGTTTGCAATCATGCTATTATGATTTCATGAGTTAAGAGGAGAAATGTTTATCTTTGAAACAGTAAAAACCAACTAAGAAAACTATTTATATGATAATATTACAGGTTAACCCAGAGTCAGTCCAACAGTGTCATACAGACAATTAATTTATTTTTTATTTATTAACACATCGGCTGTTTCCCACCATGGCAGGGTGGCCTCCCCCAAAAAAAGAAAAACTTTCATCATCATTCACTCAATCACTGTCTTGCCAGAGGCATGCTCACACTACAGCTATAAAACTGCAACATTAACACCCCTCCTTCAGAATGCAGGCACTGTGCTTCCCATCTCCAGGACTTAAGTCTGGCCTGCTGATTTCCCTGAATCTCTTCATAAATATTGCCTTGCTAACACTCAAACAGCATGTCAAGTCCTAAAAACCATTTGTCTCCATTCGCCCCTATCTAACATGGTCATGCATGCTTGCTGGAAGTCCAAGCCCCTCGCACACTAAACCTCCTTTACCCCCTCCCTCCTACCTTTCCTAGGCTGACCCCTACCCTGCCTTCTCTCCACTAAAGATTTATACTCTCTCCAAGTCATTCTATTTTGTTCCATCCTCTCTACATGTCCAAACCACCTCAATAATGCCTCCTCAGCCCTCTGGATAATAGTTTTGGTAATTCCACACCTCTTCCTAATCTCCAAACTATGGATTCTCTGCATTATATTCACACCACACGTTGCCCTCAGACATGACATCTCTACTGCCTCCGGCCTTCTCCTTGTTGCAACATTCACCACCTATGCTTCACACCCATTTATGAGAGTTAGTATAACCATACTCTCATACATTCCCCTCTTTGCTTCTATGGATAAAGCTCTTTGTCTCCACAAACTCCTCAGTGCACCACTCGCCTATTTTCCCCCTTGTCAATTCTACGATTCACCTCATTTTTCACAGACAGACAATTAATTAGTAATGAATTTATTTGGTACGTCTGACAGACCTCATTCTAAACATTAATATGATAAACAAGTTACCATCACAAAAGAAAAACTTGCACAAGCCTGGTCTTCTAATCAGTTTTGAAATTCTAAATGATTATTAGTCTTATTTACGCATTTCTAAAACAGTTCTCTAGTGGCAAGAAATTTAAACTATTACATTTCCCTTAAACATACACATTTAAACTTAAAGTCAACAAACAGGTATCAATGATATGTGCTGAATTCAGACAAAATTTTTCTTAATCTTACAGACCAGACAAAAATTTCTGTAGCTAGACAATAACTAATAAATCAAGTTAAAATTTAAACTTAAAATGTGCATTTCACATCTCAAATTAAAAGGGTTAAACTGGAATCAGAACTTGATGAAGTTAAAACAAACTCAAAAGTCTGTGCACAGGAATAAAAAATGCTGTCCCATTTATCCAAACAAACAACTTGTAAAGTTACCCCTGGTGTGCCTCTGCCACGGGAGGTATCTTCAGTGCTGAAGGTCACGGCTGCCAGCATTGGCTGTGACTGAGGAGGTTGTGGTGGCTGTGGGTGGTGCAGGTGACTGCTACTTCCCTGCACAAGAGAGAAACAATTATATTAGTGTTTGTTTAATTCATGTAAAGTGCTAAACCCATGAGGGTCATTCAGCACAAGACGTGGTGGAAGCTTGATCCTCTGTCTGGTAAGCACCAGACAGACATGCTTCCTATTTGTACTCACTTATGTTACAACCATATTAATATAAAAAAAAAAAAAACACCCAATTGCTATAATAATCATTTATCTTAAAATATCTTAGGACACTACAAGTGGCAATTTCTTGTTTTTAAATGGGGTATAAACCAAGCTCAGGTAGGCCAGCAGATGCTTGACTACATAACAGGTCATCATCTGACAAAGACCCATGGCAGGAAACATTTTTGTGATAAAATACCACCACATTACTGTTTATAAAGCTCATTTGCAAATCTCATAATCATTAAAACCTTTAATAACTGTTTGTAAAGCTTGTTTGCAAATTTCAATCATTAAAACTTGTTTGCAAATCTCAAAATCATTAAACCCTTTCATACGAACTCTGAAAAAAGGAACCTCTGAATTCTCTTATATCTGGTAATGGCCTTGGAAATCATCATCCCCATAGTCCAGTCTCCAATCAGGCCTGTTAAACTGAAAAGGAAATATTCCAGGCCTAAGAACTGTTAAAATACTGGAAAGCAAAGCTAAATGTATTCTGAATGCCAATAATAGTTTGCATGACTTACCTACCACCTTACATGCTCACAAGACAGGAAGGAAAGACAACAATCATGCCAGAGTGCAAAATGCTTAACAGGCTTCAGTTTCACTCTCATAGGACAGGATGTTAATACTGTGTACACTGGATAGTTGCTGTCTACTGACCTACTGCCTATTTTTAACCCTCATTAGATTTTGACAGTAGAAAATAAATGTTAGCATGGTCTCTTCAAATTGGAGGAAAGTTAAAAATCAAGCTAGAAAATTACGAAATTAATGGTGGAAACAATAAACCTGCATGTCATGCAGAATGGGAGGCAATTAGACTCAATCCATGGATGGGAAGGATAGTAACAATTTCTTGGATCAAGAGCCCTTCTCTAGCATCAAAAAACCCCCTTTGAAGGAAAATACTTTTGCATCAGAAGAGATTAAGTATTGGTGTAATATGTACAGTATGCATGCACATTTCCTCTAGAACCAACCATTAATACACCTTTCAGAAATTTATTTTTAATTTATGGGTAATAGTCTCTGCAAGACTAACAATGTTCTGATTGGTTAGAATTTGACAAGTGGAGAAAAGCAATAACCTTTAATTACTCCTATCTAACATATGCACACTTGCTGGAAGTCTAAGCCCCTTGTACACAAAACCTCCTTTACTCCCTATACTAAAACCTTTCTTAGGATAACCCCTACTCCGCCTTCCACTACAGATCTACATGCCCTCCAAGTCACTATTTTGTTCCATCCTCTCTAAATGTTCAAATCACCTCAATAACCCCTCTTCAACCCCCTTGATAATACTTTTAGTAACCCCGCATCCTGTAATTTCCAAGCTGCGGATTCTCTGCATAATATTCACATCACACACTGCCATCAGACATCTCCAATGGAATTAGAAAGCCTTCAAATTTTAGTGTCTAACTGTATACAATACTGCAGAAACAAAGTGCAAGATATCAATGAGAATATACACGAGACATAATATTATCAGTGTGGTGGAGACTGACCACTGTGCTCTGCTGTGGATGATGTCCAGCTGAATGGTGGTGGTGGTGATGCTGTTGGTTACTGGTGTTGCTGTTGGCACTAAGATTATTGGTGTTGCTGGTATTGCCATGTAATGCTCCACGGAAGAGAGATGCCCCTAAGCCACTGTTGTTTCCACTGGCCATGTCCAATGTGGATGCTCTAAATCTGTATATTTATAACAAAATCTTAGGATATTTATTAAACCTTATAATTTATATAAAAAGATACAAACAAACCATACCACGGGCGGGGATAGAACCCGCGATCAGAGAGTCTCAAAACTCCAGACCGTCACGTTAGAGACGATGAATAAAACTTCATAAAGGACACAGTTTATTTTTTATACCAGACTAATGTTTTCTCCAACATGTTTCCTCTTGACATTTTGGAAAGTCAAGATACTAAGCCAATTATGCACATTAAACATGTGATCAACTTAACTGCAGGATGTTCTAATAAGTTCACTATCTCATATTTCAAATCAGAATTAATTTATAGTTGGCCAAGAATGAATTATTTTTAGCAAATACTCGTTATGCTTTAACCCTTAAACTGTCCAAACAAAGACCTACGTTTGCACGAGTAGTGCTCCAAACATAGATCAACGTTTTATTTTCCATTCCTTCAAATTTGGCACAATAGGCTTGAGTCACCTAGACATGAAAGAATGGGTCTGTGCACTCAGTGTGTGCACTATTAAAAAAATCTGGGAACACTTAGTACCTTGTGGGAGCCCCAGTTCAATTGAGCGCCAGCTAGATCAAATAACGTAGCAAACACCAGGGATTCACTGATGCCATGTCGCATTAACACTCCCATTTTAAGAGGAAAGTATAAATAGGTTGGATAAATACATGAGTGAGTGTGGGTGGGTGTGAGTTAGACCTGACTAGCTTGTGCTACTAGGTCTGATGTCATGCTCCTTCCTTCAATGAATGTGACCTGAATAGGTGGGTCACTGGTCTAAGCTGGGGGGTGACATGTACCTGGCTTTCATGGGCCAATAGGCCTGCTGCAGTGTTCTTTCTTTCTTATGTTCTTAAGTATTCGGCAGGCTGGCTGGCTTGCTTTGGCTGTCTCTGGCTCTGTCTATCTATGTCTCAGTCTATATCTCTATCTATATCTCTATCTATATCTCAATCTATATCTCTATCTATATCTCTGTCTGTCTATGTCTATCTCTATCTATATCTCTATATCTCTATCTATATCTCTGTCTATATCTCTGTCTCACATGTACACATAAGTACTGTTATATACATAAGTGTAAATAACCTAGGATAACCCAAAAATTCCAGGCAACGATAGACAGATAGACAGAAGCATGTTTGTGTGTATCAGTGAAAACAAAGCCAGGGTTCCCCGAGCACCCATTTATTAAATGTCACTGAGCTGATAACAGATGTCATAACACTATTCTTCAAGGAGTGTGATATACATATACTCCTGGCAGACAGAAAGACAGATAAGCAGAGACAGACAGACAGACAGGCAGGCAGATAGACAGTGAGACAGATAGGCATATAGACAGGCAGATACACAGACAGGCAGATAGACAGACAAGATTTGTTTGTGTGTAACAGTGATAACAAATACAGCGAGGGTTAGCTGGAGCAGTGGGCATTTATCAAATGTCACTGGGCTGTCAACAGTATAGGGATGCCTATCATAACAACATGCTTCAAGGTATATGCCAGGGTATCTAAAACATTACTGGGACCTAGAAATATTTTGTGTATATTTCTAGACAATCGTAAATAACCCAAGTAAATGTAAATGTTCACCTGTCAATGTGATTGTGACTATTTGAGCACTATTTCAGTACCTAATATTAGTGTCAGAACAAAAATTGGCTATGAAACTACAAGAACTATTATAAATTGTAATTATCAGAACATAAAAAAATCTATAAATTAAAATAAAAACGAGAAAGAAAGATATATCGGCAACACTTCTGCAAGCGGCAGGAGTTGATGTTGCTGTCAGGTGAGAATCCAGAGCCAACTTCACGGTCTTATATCTCGGTAAGTATTAACCCTAAAAACATTTTTTTTATTCCTATAACATGTAGAAAAATGTGCTCTTCATTAAAAAAAAAAAAAAAAAAAAATTATTTTTCAACACATTTAGAGACATGCAGTGTGACAGATTTCTTTCAGTTTTAGCCTTTAGGTGTTTTCGCCCAGGTTTTATACTAGTTAGCCCTAAATTTTGGACATACTAGTGGCCTAAATCTGGTGCCTAAATAAAGAAGGGTTAGGCAGTGCATATAAAAAAATCGTCATGGCGTGGGTTACCTGGAAGAAAAAAATTTCCAGGGTTAAGCATAAGCGGCTTTGACCAGGATTCTCGTGGTATTATTGTTGTAATCTAGTTTCTGGCTATTGTGAGGAAGACATATACGAAATTGAGCATTGACGGTTTTGATCAAGAACTTGAATTTGAGCTATTAGCAGAAGTTTGATTTTCGCCAAAGGGTTTATAGTAAAATCTATGTGGGAGGCATCCTGAACAGTCGGCGGTCTGAACTTTTCAATATGATCTTTTAATACCATAGTGACACATGCTTTTCATTGGGAGTAAATGCTTTATGTTGTCAAGATAAATTCAAGTGGAGTGAATTTAGTGGGCTGGGATGTACTAATGACAGAGATTTTTTCAGCGTGTTAATAATCATGTATTCTCTGCCCCTAGTTGCAAGGATCGTTTTGAAATTTTAAGCGTTGCCAGTAATTGAGGTGTTTTATCTCCGTTATGCGCGCCGTGAAAGTTCTCTGTACATTCTCTAGGTCGGCAATTTCACCTGCTTTGAAAGGTGCTGTTAGTGTGCAGCAATACTCCAGCCTAGATAGAACAAGTCACCTGAAGAGTGTCATCATGGGCTTGGCCTCCCTAGTTTTGAAGGTTCTCATTATCCATCCTGTCATTTTTCTAGCAGATGCGATTGATGCAATGTTATGGTCCTTGAAGGTGAGATCCTCTGACATGATCACTCCCAGGTCTTTGACGTTGGTGTTTCGCTCTATTTTGTGGCCAGAATTTGTTTTGTACTCTGATGAAGATTTAATTTCCTCATGTTTACTATATCTGAGTAATTGAAATTTCTCATCGTTGAACTTCATATTGTTTTCTGCAGCCCACTGAAAGATTTGGTTGATGTCCGCCTGGAGCCTTGCAGTGTCTGCAGTGTCTGCAGTGTGCGCAGTATAAAAAAAATCCTGCAGCACACAGTGGGTAATGAGAAAAAAAAAAACTTTGACCGTGTTTTTGGATTAAAACAGTGACTTTGCACTGTATTTTCGTATGGTATTTATTGTTGTATTCTAGTTTTCCTGGTCTCATTTTATAGAATGGAAGACATATTACAGAAACTGAGATGATTTTGACTGGTTTTACAATGAAAAGTACCTTGAAATTGAGCTCAAAGTAGCAAAAGTGTTCGATTTTTACCAAAGTTCAAAAGTAAACAAATCATGCTAAGCGTCCAATACACGTCAACTTGTGAGTCTAATATTCTTTCACAAGTACGCTGATATTATTTATACCATTTCTACCTAATGCAGTAGTCTGCATTACAGTAATCTTCTATTTTTTTGTAAGAAAAAAAATTCAAGGTGGAAAGCCAAAGAAATATAAGAGGGGCCTGGGGATGTGACTAACGAACAGAGGAAATGTTATTTTAGTGCCAGGAATGTCTTTCTTGTTTATTCTGGACCCTATTTGGAAATTGGCATCTTTTGAAATTTGTGTGAAATTGGCAAAATTGCTAAATTCTGACCACTTTATTGGAGAGCTGAAATTGGTAAATGGGTGGCTTCTTGTACTCATTCGATAGAAAAAATGGAGTTCTAGCGAAATAGTTATGATTTTAGTCGACTAGTACACTGGAATTGGCCGAAAATACTATATGAAAATACACCTCAAAGTCGGCGTTTTAATCCGAAAAAAAAAACGGTCAGTTTTTTTTTCTCATTACGCACTGTGTGCTGCAGGATTTTTTTTATGTGGTGCACACTGACCACACAGACCCATTCTCTCACATGTGGGCCTACCAGCTTTCTCCTGCTTGATTTGAAGCCGCTAGAATTTATGCGTATTAATACGTCCAAAACACTGGCTCATAAGACATATACACCTACCATCCGACTTACGACCTGCTCGACTTACGACCACTCGACTTACAACCGTGTTTTTTATGCCAAATTTCTGGGAAATAAACAACTATTTGTGTTGTACAGAGTGTTTATCCTAAATCTTACAGTATAAAATACAGTACTAACAACATAAAAAGTAAAGTAAAACATGAAATACCAAAATAAAACAATAAAATAAAGTCATTACAAAAATGTTTTGTTGATATTCAGTAGTAAAGTTCGACTTACGACCATTTCGACTTACGACCGGTTTCTCGGAACCGAACTCGGTCGTAAGTCAGATGGTAGGTGTATATATGACCAAAACAGTCAAAGGGTTAAGACAGATGCTCCTCACTTTATGATATTTCAACTTTACAATGGTGTGATAGAGGCCAAACTCTTGGAGAATTTTGAAAAGATTTTAACATCCTTAAAGCTATCAGGATAAACCTGAATTCATTCATTTACTTTTCAATACTGGTACGTATTTAGTCAGTAACTAAACAAATAAGTACTGTAACTTATTCAATGACAATAGCTATTTATTTACTTATTTATCATATGTTCACATTCAATTTACAGTATTTTCAATTGACGATGGTTTCATCAGAACGTAACCTCATTGTAAGTTGAGAAATTCAATGGGAATATCAAGCCTCAAATCCAAAGTCTGTAAGTCCTGAGACTGCCAGCCTGGTGCTTACACTACTGCACCCAGAGGGTTATAAGTGATCTCTAACCAGAAAATTCTTTTACCTGCAAAGATTTGCGAGATCCATATCTCAGCTCAATCGTGTACTTTTATGGAGACCACTTTAAACTCCTCCAGTAGGCAGTGGCAAATATATCTCTTGTTTATTCTAAGTCACCTATCAATGTGATGAAAATTAGGAATGAACAAACATAATAATTCAATGGGATGATCGAGCCTCAAAACCACTGTCTGATGGTTCAAAGGCTTGATCACCTTAATGAAAGTCTTTGACTCCAATACAAATACTAAAAGAAAAGCTAGAAAAATTATAACCT